GGGTGTATTGGACTGAAAGGAATCAACCGCACTATGGAATTGCTCTAGCTCGCGGGTCTCCCTGTCTTCAAAGGCGAGTTCTCGCATGGTGTGTAAAATCATGCCCCACGCGAATGCGGCCGGGTTAGCAGTCTTACATTCAATTCCTTCAGAGAGGAACATTTCATGGATTTGGCCGAGCTCCTCCTTGCCCAAGAAATAAGGAGTTTTAGACGATTCAAGGTTCTTGCCCTTCGTAAACGTCCTGTTCATGAGTGAAGGAATCGACAACTGGAGCTTAAGAAGTGCTATAGTGGTTAGAGAGACGAAACCCTGAAGAGGCACCAACACTTCCAGGGGATCCTGGCATGGCTTCAACTAGTCAGTGTATGTCTGATTTCTGAGGCGCACAAAGAAACTCACAATGACAAGGGGCTCTAAAAAGCTATACTCAACCATCAGCTTGAGCCAAGAGAGCACGAGCTTGGCGGATGGAATCTCCGTGGAGGCCTGGAGTTGGTAAAATAATATCTGCACGATATGAAGGATTTCCTCGACGAGAGTCGTCGTCCGCAAATCTTCCACTTGCTGGCTACTCTCCGTGACGCTCAGCCACCCGCCATCTTCCGCCAGAGACGTCAGTCGACTGCGAACAGCATCAATACAGCTTTCACTAAATGCGTGCCAATTTCCTCCTTTGAATTTGTCTTCGAAAATGTTGGCGCCTAAACGGCACAAATCGCTTTGCTGGGTGATACCAACTTCGACTTTGCTGAGATGGAAAAAGCCTAGAAGTTTGCGGGATGTCTTGATAACGTGGCTTCGTTCGGCGAGATAGAGACTACGCAGCCGCAAGCGCCTGCTTTTCTCGGAAAGAAAGTCGGCAGAATCATCATTCGTCAGGATCTTGCGATTGAGAATTTCCGCCAGAGCAGGACCTGCGAGGGACGCGCGCAGATTATCGGCCCCTGTTGCACTTTGTAAACTTGTTGTTTCCTCTCCGGCGAAGCGAGTCAAGAGGCGTGTAGCAGGTCGGTGTTGCCATTCCAACACGGTGATCCGAAGCGCGCTGATTTCGTCGATCCCCGCTTTCTCACTGAGCCAGAGAGCGTCCGCTTTGATCTCCTTAAGGTCGTACGACGACTGCGCATTAGTCTCGGCATGGATGGCTGCTGTTTTAGATTCAAAGTCCGTCTTAGATTTCGGCGATGGAGAAGGGAACCCGTTCAAGCAATTCGAGAGGATCTGGACGCTGTCGGGATGCGATAGAAAGGCATGTAATTGCTCCGCATCGTCATCTATGCTGGCGTGATTGCATGTGTATAGGAAAGCTTGCTTCCAGGACCTAAGCGCAAACAGGATTAGTATCTGCTGTCATGTCAGATGTGTTCAATGTTGAAGGCGCGTACAGAAGCTGAACGTCCCCGGAGAAGCACTTGTCCAGGGACGGGAAGAAGGCTTCCGGGAGGGGAGCCATTGGCGGGACAACTATATCATTATAGGATTCAAACAAGCAATGGAAAGAAAAGACGCCGTCCGACCGAGTCAAAGGAGAAAGACACGGTGATGGACAGAGCAACGGGGAGGGACAAACACAGAGCTCAACAGCTCACGGCGGGAATCTCCAGAATATTCAACCCGAACGGAGTCTAGCCTGCAAGGTCAACAATGATTGCCTATCTGGGCCTAGCGTAGGGCGGTGAGAGGGATTTTTGCAACAACTGATTTGGTTTTGCATGGTTTGAATACACTAATCCCAAACAGGACGAGCAGCCCGATCCACCCATTCCCGCTGGCGGCGGCGGCGGCGGCATTTGTTGGACTGAGTCAATGGAGGGGATGTGCGATTGCTTGCGGTCACACAACAACTCACTTCTGTCGCAACACTGCTCGGAGGGTTTCGTCAACTCTGGGAGGTGAGTTGGTCCTAGATCTCTCTCTGTTCTTTCTTCCTCTGTGTTGTCTTCATTTGATCTTTCATTCATTCTAATCTATCTTTCACTCTCTCAATCCAGATATAGCTAACATGGCGAGCTTCGGTCTCGTTGATCATTCCCCCCACCATCCTACCCAGGCTGCCCAACTCAACAGCGCCTCAAATGTCATTCTCATCGATAACTATGACTCCTTCACTTGGAATGTCTATCAGTACCTGGTTCTTGAGGGTGCGACAGTGAATGTCTACCGTAACGATCAAATCACTATCGAGGAACTTATCGCCAAAAACCCGACGCAGCTCGTGATCAGCCCGGGTCCTGGCCACCCCGAGACCGATGCCGGTATAAGTATTGCTGCAATCAAGCACTTCGGCGGCAAGATCCCCATCTTCGGAGTGTGCATGGGCCAGCAATGTATGATCACTTGCTTCGGAGGAAAGGTTGACGTTACTGGCGAGATTTTGCATGGCAAGACATCTCCTCTGAAGCACGATGGCAAAGGCTGCTACGAAGGGTTGCCTGCTAAGCTCGATGTCACCCGGTACCACTCTCTGGCTGGAACTCATTCGACTGTTCCCGACTGCCTGGAGGTCTCCTCTTACGTGCATCTGGCCAACGACAATACCAACGACAAGACCATCATCATGGGCGTGCGACACAAGCAATTCGCTATCGAGGGTGTTCAGTTCCACCCTGAAAGTATTCTCACGGAGAATGGACGGACTATGTTCAGAAATTTCCTGAAGCTTACGGCAGGCACCTGGGAAGGAAATGGGAAGCACTTCAACGAGCACAAGACCGTGGTTTCCTCTGCGCCTTCGGCTGCCGCCCCAAAGACCGATAAGAAGAAGTCTATCCTTGACAAGATCTACGACCACCGCAAAGCTGCCGTGGCTGTGCAGAAGACTATCCCTTCGCAGCGGCCAACAGACTTGCAAGCCGCTTACGACCTCAACCTTGCCCCCCCTCAGGTCTCCTTCCCCGACCGCCTCAGGAAATCCCCTTATCATCTGTCCCTCATGGCCGAGATCAAGCGGGCTTCTCCTTCCAAAGGCATGATTGCTGAGCATGCATGTGCGCCAGCCCAGGCTCGGCAATATGCGAAGGCTGGAGCCAGTGTTATCTCCGTCCTGACTGAACCAGAATGGTTCAAGGGCAGCATTGATGACCTGCGCGCTGTTCGTCAAAGCCTCGAAGGCTTCACCAACAGACCTGCCATCCTTCGTAAAGAATTTGTCTTTGACGAATACCAGATTTTGGAAGCGCGGTTGGCTGGTGCCGATACAGTGCTGCTCATTGTGAAGATGCTCAGTACCGAGCTTCTCACAAGGCTGTATAAATATTCCCGCAGTCTCGGAATGGAACCACTTGTTGAAGTCAACAACCCAGAGGAGATGAAGATCGCAGTGGATTTGGGAGCGCAGGTCATTGGTGTCAACAACCGTGACCTGACTAGCTTCGAGGTCGATCTCGGAACCACAAGCCGACTGATGGACCAAGTTCCTTCCAGTACCATTGTTTGCGCGCTGAGTGGCATTTCTGGGCCTAAGGATGTGGAAGCTTACAAGAAAGACGGCGTCAAAGCGATCCTGGTCGGTGAGGCTTTGATGCGGGCGGCGGACACGTCTGCATTTGTTGCAGAATTGCTCGGTGGCAGTGATAAGAGTGTTGAGACTAGGATCCAGAGCTCTCCACTTGTGAAGATCTGTGGCACGCGATCTGAGGAAGCGGCAAAGGCCGCCATTGAGGCTGGCGCCGATTTAATCGGCATTATTATGGTACAAGGAAGGAAACGACTTGTTCCGGATGACGTTGCATTGCGGATCTCACAGGTTGTCAAGACCACACCTAAGCCCGCCAGCCAGTCCAGCCAATCACCTGACGCAGCAGCTGTGGACTACTTTGATCACTCTGCATCGATTTTGCGTCATCCCAATCGGGCTCTGCTCGTGGGTGTATTCCAAAACCAGCCATTAGAGTACATCTTGTCTCAGCAACAGAAGCTCGAACTTGATGTCGTTCAATTGCACGGCTCTGAGCCGCTCGAGTGGGCTAGGTCGATTCCCGTCCCTGTCATTCGCAAATTTGGTCTCGACGAGCCCGCAATTGCCCGGAGATCTTACCACACGTTGCCCCTACTAGACTCTGGAGCTGGTGGATCTGGTGAGCTCTTGGATCAATTACGTGTCGAGCGAGTTTTGGAGAGTGACAGCGGCCTACGTGTCATTCTTGCTGGAGGTCTGGATCCTACAAATGTCGTTGAGACGATCCAAAGGCTCGGCAAGTCCAGCGCTAAGGTGGTGGGCGTGGACGTCAGCTCTGGCGTCGAGTCCGACGGCGCACAGGATCTGGAAAAGATCCGCGCCTTTGTGAAGGCTGTCAAGAGCCTTCATGCATGATCTGGCGTCTGGCTTTTACAATACGTTTATACTATGAGTTAACCAATTGGTCAACATCAATCTCATTCTTATTTCCGGGTCATTTCAATTCGTATACTCTAAGGAATATAACACCAGCGGTGTTCTGGTTATGATTAAATATACTCACATAGCTGTCACCTCATAAGAATTTATTGTTAAATTGACTATTCACCTTTTGTCACTGTCTTTCTATTACATGGAATCTATTACATGGAATGGAAAAGGGCAACCTTTGACTTGGGTTGAATATACGTGCTTACCCCTACTCTATATCCATGTCAATAGATTATTCATCTTCTTCACATGCATACATCACCATTTTGTGAGGTTTGTCTCAATCTTCGGGTTCTGACAATATTCTCTCGGGCCTTAGCCACCTCGTAATTGTCTGATGGTCGAACTTAGGGCCAACCATACCCAGGTCTCTACTCATGTACTCTTGATTTATCTCTACCTCCCACTTCAATATCCTACTCATTGATCTCCTGGTTTGCATCTCTTCTTCCTCTTCTTTCTCCTCCTCCACTTATACTTCTCTGCTTCCAATCACCAGAGAGCCAAAACAACTTCACTTGGCTATCTCCTTCATGTCCCTGCCTCGAATGCACTGAACCCTCCCGTCCTAACTCCTTCCACCCACTCCATGAAAAGATTGCCAGTAGTAATGAGCAAGGCATTCCAAAAGATCCACGCCAGCTCGGCGGGCAAATTCCCCAAAGACGGCGACAAAATCCCGCAATGGATCCGCGCCAACGGAGGCGAATACCATTCGACCATCACCCCGCAAGTAACTCATCTCATCACGACCCTCGAGGCATATAAGAAAAACATCGCGTCAGGTAAAGTGCACCTCTTGCCCCTAGCACTTAACGCAACTGCTGTCTCTAATGTTTGACCAGTCCGCGAGGCCAAGGCGCTGAAAAACATCAAGATCGTCACCTTCGACTGGCTGGAAGATTCCTTGCTCGCCAGGGACAAGAAGCCAAAACGGGTGAATGAATACCTCCTGGAAACGATTGTAAAGGATGAGGAGAAACGGAAGAAGAAACCAGCTCGAGAGGCGTCTCGGACCACAAAGTCGGTGGACGCTGCAGCGGCCACAACGCGGAAGGCTGGTGCCGCGAAGAAACCCGCAGGTATGCCCTCATCTTTCCCCTCGCGAGTCGTCATCTTGTTCCAAGCCACTAATGGTGAGATAGGAAGGATCAAGAATCCAGACCCTTTCGGAAAGGCGACTGCAAAATTCAAGGCTGGAACCGCTGCGGGTAGGTGGAATATATATATCATCAGGTGATGGTAGACGGATGTCATGGTGGAAGCCTATTAGGGTACTAACGCTAGACTGGACTCACAGCTAAGTATTGCATTTACGTGGGCGAAACAACAGGGATTAAGTATGATATCCCTCTGGTGCGGTTAATGGCCTGTAGAAGGTCGAGAGAGAAGATCCGCCTCAAGGTCAGTCGGTCTATCTACGAGTCTTCAGTTATTCTGTCGAACAAGGAGATTCGCGAGCAAAGGAGAAGCTGAGTATGTGTTACCCTACCTGCTTTAGGTATACGAATCCAAGGCAGAGCCACACGTTTACGCTACGCGCATGGAATACAGTCGCACCGGAGCAGCTTGTGCCCAGATGTTGACACCTCTGGGAACTAGTTTGAAGATAGCTATGGATGCATTCGAGGCAAAGTTCATGAGTAAGACCGGAGTAGCCTGGGCTGATCGGTCGAATGGGGTTGCGCCTCCTCCGAAGATGGACAAGGAAGGCAATCCGCTGCCTGCGGATAAGGGGTGGTATTTCTTTGAAGACGGCCAGAGCATATTATCCCAGTACCTTCATTCTCATACTGCTGTCGAAGACCAGGGGCATGAAGTCGAAACAACAGGTGGGGCCAGCTTGGTTTGAAAGAAGCAAGGCATTGCTCTGGGCGCTGGAAATCGAGCAGAAGTTAATGGTTGCAGGCATTGACTATAGTCTGAATACCACTGGTGGGCTTACTCCCGGCTTGGTCAACTCAGTTCTAGGTGGTGCTAGATGCAATGGGGAGAAGCGGTGCGCTGGGCTTTGGTTGCAGAATAGGTGATCATATTGCAATTTGCCCTAAGAAAGGCACCCAGTAGTTATATATGCTGCCGAATCAGTGAGCGCCTCACCGAATTAATACACTGGGCAAAAAAATGATGATGAAGATGATTTATGTTCTTTCAGATGGGTATACAAATAGCGACCTAAAATGCCAACGGTGCGAACATACGACCAGGAAGCTCCTTCTAACACCTCTTTGCGCCAAATCAAACTTTTCCTGTAGCCTTTCGTGCTTGACAGCGAAAATGCTAGCTGACCGATCCTCATGCTCACAGATAATCCTTCTTCTTGCTTGTCCTCGTGTATTGCGTGAGGGCCCATTCCACATCACCGCTAGATCCCTTCTCCAGGGAGCCTCCACGGATCTCGAACAGCCTCATGGTCATACGAGGGCCAACTTCCGCCAGCTCCACATCCCGATATCCGGTCTTGACGAAGACGTGGTGTCGCACCTCGATACTGTCCTCCTTGTTCACGAAGCTGACGACCCGATTGCCAACCTTGCCATCCTCGCGGGGCGGGAACAGATGCTTCAGGATTTGCACCACACGGAGGCCCAGCTTGGTTGTGAACCCCTCGAAGACGAGATGGGGGTAGCTCTCGGAGACGGTTCCGCGAGCCGCGTCGGGGATATCGGCACGGAGAACGACATTGTGAAGGGAGAAGCTGGCCGTGGGGCCGTGTGGCAGGTGGGAAATGGTCATCGCCGTAGGCGTACCACGATGTTCGTGCAGGAGGATCATGTCGGTCAGCGCTGCGGCGGTCGCGCTCGAGACGAGATCGGGCAGGACGAGATTACCACGGTTCAGACGGATCGCGGTGGGCAGAAGCAGACGGATTTCTTTGGCGAAGGTACCGAGGCGGACAGAGGGGCTGCGAGAAGTTGTGACAATAGGGCGAGGGTCGGCGATACCCGAGGTGAGCGCATATTCGTCGTCCAAGTCCACCTTATCGGCGTCCTTGTCTGCACTGTCTAGCGATTCATCGTACTTAAAGTCTTCGCGCAGGGATTTGTCATTGGCGATAGAGGGATCGAGGGGTTTGCCGGAGGCCAGCGACGCCTTCAGTTGAGCTCGCTTTTCGGCGATAGAGGCATCGCGGAGGGTTAGAGCTCTCCGGTAGAGATAGTCTCGTCGCTCACGGGTTTGACGGCGCTAGAGGTGATGTATGTCAGTATGCTAGATATGAATCGCAAGTAACTCAGCATCTCGAGAAAGAGCACAAACGTACCAACATCTTGAGTGTCCAGCCTGTATTTGGGTTCTGATACAAGATCGGATAAGTTATCGAATGATCGAATGCGGCATGCCGCCCATCTTTTTTTCTTTCCTAAATTGCCGCTCTGGTCCGCCTTGGCCACCGGACTGTGGAATTTGGCGGCAAACAATCGCCGATAACTTGATCGAGCCCGATCGCATACCACCCGCCACTTAGTCCTCCGCTTGACAACATCACGCCTGGTCTAAGAGGGCAAGCCGATACACTTCCCTGTCAAGAAAACTCAGTGGCGGCAGGAACTCGCTGTGACTGAAGGTTTGACTCCCCTGTGCTATGCGCAAGTGAATTCCGCTTCGCTAACATCACTCCACTTGGTCTCACTTCCCTCTCTTTTGCCCCTCTACCGTGACACACTGACAGGTTGGGTGACGAGATTATCAAGAACAAGCTAACTCCCGGACTTCTGTAGTGCCACAGACGACGGGCTTGTCCGCTGCACTCATTAATTCCTACGACACGCCGTTCTTGTATCACCTTCCGATCTGCGGCGGCCGAGGTATCTTTCGCTTCTTATACCTTTGCCATCCTGCGCCCACATACATATAACTGCGTCCACGACCTCTATCAACGATTCTTAACACCAAACGCCAGCTATGGCTGCACCGGTCGATGAGAGAATTGCTGCAGACCTCGATGAGTCTCATCAATTCCGTCCCCGGAGACATGATGACGACGAGGAGGGTTCCGACCACCTAGGAGATGATGATGCTGAAAGCACCGCCAGTGCTACTGTCGCGGAGCGTAAGAACAATGAAGGACACTTCGATGAGGAGAAAGAGCTTCCATCGCATGCGTGCTCGTACGTGTCTTGAAAGACCGCCCCTCATAGCTCCCTCTTCGCTAATATGAGCTTGCAGGTATTGCGGTATTCACAATCCGAGCAGCGTCGTGAAGTGCCTGGCTTGCAGCAAATGGTTCTGCAGTGCTCGTGGTAACACATCATCTTCTCATATTGTCAATCATCTCGTTCGAGCTCGTCACAAGGAGGTCCAATTACACCCTGCCTCATCGCTCGGCGATACCATCCTCGAGTGTTACAACTGCGGCACCAAGAATGTTTTCCTCCTCGGTTTCATTCCAGCCAAGTCCGACACCGTTGTTGTCCTGTTGTGCCGTCAGCCATGTGCCGCCATGCCTTCCTCAAAAGATATGAACTGGGATACTTCTCGGTGGCAGCCTTTGATCGAAGATCGCTCGTTTCTTCCCTGGCTTGTGGCTGCTCCATCCGACCAGGAGCAGCTTCGCGCTCGCCACCTTAGCCCACAGTTAATTGCTAAATTGGAAGAGATGTGGAAGGAAAACTCTCAGGCGACCTTCTCGGATCTAGAAAAGGCCACAGCCGTGGACGATGAGCCTGCACCTGTTCTGCTGCGTTACGACGATGCTTTCCAGTATCAGAATATCTTCGGTCCGCTAGTCAAAATTGAAGCAGACTACGACCGGAAACTGAAGGAGTCTCAGTCTCAGGATGGATTGATTGTGCGCTGGGACCTCGGTCTTAATAACAAACACCTAGCCAGTTTTATATTGCCCAAACTCGAACTCGGTGATGTAAAATTGGCTGTCGGCGATGAGATGCGTTTGAAATATAGCGGTGAATTGCGCCCGAAGTGGGAAGGTGTTGGATATGTCATCAAGATCCCAAACAACCAGTCTGATGAAGTGACTATCGAACTGCGGGCGAAGGGTGACCACAAGTCCGTGCCTACCGAATGCACGCACAACTTCACGGCTGACTATGTTTGGAAATCTACCTCCTTTGATCGCATGCAGCTCGCTATGAAGACTTTTGCTGTCGATGAGATGAGTGTCTCTGGTTATATCTTTCACCGTCTCCTTGGACACGAAGTTGCAGCTGCGCCTATGAAGACCCAGATGCCCAAGAAGTTCAGTGTTCCGGGACTTCCTGAGCTCAACAACAGCCAGATCAATGCGGTTAAGAGCGTGCTTCAGAGGCCTTTGAGTCTTATTCAAGGACCGCCCGGAACGGGTAAAACCGTCACCTCGGCTACGATTATCTATCACCTTGCCAAGATTAACGGTGGTCAAGTCCTGGTTTGTGCGCCCTCGAACGTTGCTGTTGATCAGTTGTGTGAACGTATCCACAGAACTGGTCTTAAGACGGTCCGTGTGACTGCGAAGTCGCGAGAGGATGTTGAATCTCCTGTCGGTTTCCTTTCTCTGCACGAGCAGGTTCGCATCAACGACAGCAACATTGAACTTATCAAGCTCAACCAATTAAAGGCTGAGCTTGGCGAATTATCCAGCCAGGACGAAAAGCGACTCAAGCAGCTCACGCGTTCCGCAGAACGAGAGATCCTCAACAATGCCGATGTCATCTGCTGTACCTGTGTCGGTGCTGGTGATCCACGTCTTTCCAAACTCAAGTTCCGCACTGTATTGATTGACGAATCGACTCAATCTGCTGAGCCGGAGTGTATGATTCCTTTGGTCTTGGGCTGCAAGCAAGTCGTCCTTGTTGGTGATCATCAACAGCTGGGCCCTGTCATCATGAACAAGAAGGCTGCCAAGGCTGGTCTGAATCAATCGCTCTTCGAGCGTCTTGTTATCTTGGGATGCTCCCCTATTCGCTTGAATGTTCAATACCGCATGCACCCATGTCTTTCCGAGTTCCCTTCGAATATGTTCTACGAGGGTTCTTTGCAGAACGGTATCTCTCCTCTGGACCGTCTCCGCCGTGATGTCGACTTCCCTTGGCCCATCCTTGACAACCCTATGATGTTCTGGTCAAACCTAGGTAACGAAGAAATTTCGGCTTCCGGTACTTCCTATCTCAATCGCACTGAAGCGACAAACGTCGAGAAGATTGTCACCCGTTTCTTCAAGGCCGGAGTGCAGCCCCAGGATATCGGTATCATCACTCCTTACGAAGGTCAGCGTAGTTACATCGTTAGCTCTATGCAGGCCACTGGTACTTTCAAGAAAGAGCACTACAAGGAGATTGAGGTCGCATCCGTCGATGCTTTCCAGGGTCGTGAGAAGGATTTCATCATCCTTTCGTGTGTTCGTTCAAATGACCACCAAGGCATCGGTTTCTTGAGTGACCCCCGCCGTCTCAACGTCGCGCTCACTCGTGCTAAATACGGACTGGTGATTTTGGGTAATCCCAAGGTCCTGTCGAAGCATCCTTTGTGGAACTGCCTCTTGCAACACTTCAAGGAGCGACATTGTCTTGTTGAGGGACCCTTGTCCAACCTGCAGGAATCCCTCATCCAATTCAGCCGCCCGAAGCAGGCATATCGTGGACCCCAGCGATTCCAAATGGCGTTCAATCATGCCTCCAACGTGACCAGTGGATTGATGACAGGGAAGAATGGCCACCGCAACGAATTTCATGATACTGGATCCGTTGTAGGGTATATCCCCGATGATGTTTCTTCTGTTCATTCATCTGCTCTTGGTGGTGTGAGCATTCCTTCCGGCTACCCGCCTATGTTTCAGAACTTTGCCGACTCGTGGCCGGCCCTCCCAGGCGGTCGCCGTGCCAATGGGAACCGGATGAAGGGTGCCCCTAGTATTGCTGGAGAGTCCATCGCAGCCACCGAGTCTGATGTCACAGGCAGCATCATCGACGGAAAGAGTGCCGATCAAGGGGGTGTCAGCCTTGCTGGTTTGAGTATCAACGACATGACCAAGCAGCCCAGTCTCAGCCAATCTGACCGTCTGAAGCGTTATGTGGAGTCTGGAGGACGTGAGCCTTACAAGCCTGGTGTTCCCGACAACGGCAGCATTTTCGGAGGCAGCTCGACTAGCATTCGTGTCACCCGGGGTGTTCCAGGGCACATGCACGACGACGATGATACTCGCAGCGTCTCGACTGCTTTTGCCAGCCAGATTGGGGGAAACTATGATTGATTGAAGAGGTCTTGGCAAGTTCAGAATCGGGAGCTGACCCTGAAGCTTCTACAGTCATCCCCACAGACTTCGGAACAGCCAGTCGCAGAATCGAATGGACTGGCTGTCCTCGGACAAGACTCGATGTCCTGGCGCTCCACATGGCCTTGGCGATATTCTCAAGGAAGGGGGATCCCCTGTGCTTTCTAGGGCAGCTTCAGTAAGAGCAGACCCTCAACAATAGGAGACGATTGCGACATCCTCGTTCTCTTTTCGGCACTCTTGTCGGTAACGGATGGAAGTCTCGAGTTTCAAACTGCTGCTACCTGTCACCGTAGCGAACGTCGGTCCTCGTCACACTGTGGTGCAGTCCTACAGGACTCTACCAACGGTATGTGATAGGCGCGGGCTGTATCTAACTATCTCGTACTATGCCTCATGGCTATCATTGATCTTAGTCGCTCGAAAGAGTCAGCGGTATGTCATGTCAATTTCTCCGCTCACGGCTGCGCTCGGGAGTCACGAGGCAACCAGCCAGTCCTACCATTATCGCGGACGAGGTGGATGAAGGTTTTTCAAAATCACCAATCCTAGTCCAATGTCTCTTCTTCTTCCGCCACCATTGCTTTACATTGCTTATTGTCGTATTTCAAACCCAATCTAAAAAAAAAATCATTTGCGAACTGTGCTATCATGGCGTGCGAGGCTATGTCTGTTAGTTGAGTAGGAGATGTGCATACTAGCATAACACTTGGTATCGTAGCTTGGGTTTCATGATGCAGTCCGACCATTCTGATCCGGCACCTACGATTCTTTGACTCAACCCAAGAACAGCATAGCCACATAACTTCCTTGGTCCGCGGAAGTAGGAGCGAAGAACAGAGTCAAGCAGCAGAGCTCTGATAGGCATCCATATTTCCAGCGTCCTTTCTGCCAGCTGCTCAGCATCTTAAGTGTCAAGGAGCTCTCATTATAGCTTGGATAGGCGTGCGAGTAGTAGCTTCAGATGTGAGGACAGGTCACGGCGGCTCAGGTACGTGAAGTTGACAGAACAACAGTGTGAAGTAGGCACAAGCTACTCTCCGAACTGACACATATTATTTCGAAGGCAGAAGAGATATCCATAATCCTTGTACAGTACAGAAACTTTTCGAGAAGGCAGTCATCAGACCCTTGTCGATCAACCTAAATATAACTACCCAGTGTTTTGAAGGCTTGTCCTGGCGACAGAGATAAGAGATAATATAATTCACTGAATCATGTAGAGGCTACGATTACGATGGAGGTCTTATCGATGGTGTTGATCGTGGCAGGACTGCGCCACTAATGGTGATCCATACAAGTAGGTATACATATGGAATCCCGGACAGAGCCCAAGTCTGTCCATATCTACAGGCTCGATAGGCTCATAAAACCGAGATGCCTAGTTTTCCTTGTCTGGGTAACAAGAACTGAGAGAAGTCACTGAGAACGAACATGCAGATGACGCAATCCCTTGACAGCTTTTGTGGCCATGCCTTGGGAGAAGCATGAATGGCTGGTATTGATCGGCAATAGGTATATACGATCGATTATACCCGATACCGGCTACTGGACAGCCACTTGCATAGACGATATACTTTATTGTGCAAGAATCGAAGAAGAACAAGGAACTGTCTTGGGGCAGGTGAGCAGTCTAGCTTGCGAAATTCCCGGATGTTTAATAACGCAGCTACATGATGTGCGTAGGGATGAGCTGTATTGCCGATGAATCTACCAATATATGTAATAATGTGCAGTAAGTTAGTACCCTGCGCGTCAAACACATCAGCCAAAATAAGCCGCGCCACGATCCCTGCTTGTTTCCAGAGCGTGGAGCGTAGCGTCTCAGGTGTCTATTGAGCCCTGTCTTTCAGGGTTGATTGGTGTATATGCTTTCTTTGAGTCTGTTGTGGAGCAGCGCTTAACGGTCTCTGTGCCTAATGGATGGAGTGGCTCGGGATTGGGCGAGAAAACGCAGTATGCTACTAGGTATGTGCTCCGATGCCGCAGGAGGTTTGGGTACCTAAGGTAGTAAACTCCCTGGGTGAGAGATATAATTTCAAGCGAAATCTTGGCACGGTTGACTTGAGTGAGAGAGACGGTGCAGGATGTATTGGGGAATGGTTTCCAAGTTCATCATCCTACTAGTATTGTCTGTTGGCGTTGGCAGGTAAAAGTGAAGGGTTGAAGACTCCAGTTGGTTCAATCTATCGCCAGCCGAGGCGCTATGTCGGGATTTTCCTAAAATAGAAACCCGACTTCGCCACAGCAGTTAGGCAGTGTGGCTGAAGCATGACCTGCACGTGCTGTAGTGATTGCCAGGCAGCAATGAGGCACGCAAAATCTTCCTTGCCTGGTATGTGGCGGCTCGTACTGTAAACCAATTGTGAGTAGCAGTACTGTGGTTAGGTGCGTACAGTAACCACAACACCTCAACTTCGGCCTGGGTCGACCAGGAATGAACAGTTCGGGCTTATCCTGCCGATTAACCTCCTTCCCCTCGCTTGGTTGCCTGATGTTGACTTTCTGCGTGACTCACTAGTCGCAGCCTAAACAATCTCTCAAAAGAGTTTGCCATCAAGATTTTTTGGGTGATTCGGCGCCTACCAATACAACTAACGCCAACCTATTGTGTACCATTGTCCGCGCCGGACAGATATAACGCGTCTCTGATCACACCACGTGTGCAAGGCATGTTGAGTTGATATTCCAAGTACCGGTCAGAATCAGTAAGCCAGAATAATCATCATAGCAATAATCATAATTGTCTACACTGTCTACATACATGAACCAACGTTTCGCCCTGGTTAGGTTGTGTTTGTTCTCCCATCCCATCCCATCCCGTTTTCTCGCTGTTCCAGTGGCGGTTTGCCAAGCCTCCAGCTGCTTAGTCACTCGATGCCTGGCTTAGTGTCCTAAAAATCCTGGCAATCCGCCCTTCCGAGTTAAGGAACCAACATCCATCCTCCAGCCAGTGCCACCCGACTCAAACTAGGTCAACCAACTCGATTTTATACCAACTTGCTTGTGCTTTATTTGCTACCCTAGATTTTGTTACTTGCTACATTCCTTTCTTTATTTGTTCGGTCATATAGACCTTGGTCTCGGAGTCTCTCGGTTCAAACTTTTTCGATTCCTCCTAGGGACATCTCCGCCCATCTCAATTGACGGCGGGGTTGGAACTACGCTATGGGTGACGGTTCTGATTATCCTAGCCCACGAAGTGAAGGTCCTGGCGGACCTACCTCAGTTTTAGTCGCTACTCAGGAACCGCTTGTCGCAGCACCCAAGATGAACGTGAATGAACAACTCCCACCCAATTTCATGGAAGGGGCGCGTCCGCGACTGTCGGTGAGGCGAGCGCGGGATCCGCCCAAGAACTCTGCAGGCCAAATCTACTGCGATCACCCCGAGTGCCAACAATCGCCTCCCACTTTTCGCCGTCCATGCGAGTGGAAGTAAGTTCTTCTCTTCTCCCCTTTCAAATATTCGTTGAAGGACCGGGAATAGAATGCTAACCGGCCATTGTAACAGTAAGCACATGGACAAACATGACCGCCCCTACAAGTGCCTGGAACCCGGGTGTGACAAGATCCAGGGATTCACATACTCAGGCGGTCTTTTGCGCCACCAGCGCGAGGTCCATAAGAAAAACATCAATGCCAAGAAACCACTGATGTGTCCCTACGTCGATTGCAACCGCAGTACAGGAAACGGGTTTACGCGTCAGGAGAACCTGAAGGAGCACCTCCGCCGTCGCCACATGCATACCGAGAATGGCCCTGCACCAGAACTACCTCCCATCCCGTCTCCGGATGATCTGGATAACGCCGCAGCTCTTGGCGTACCTCCTACCCTGAAGCGCAAGCGCGACTCTATCGATGAGGATCCTACCTTGGATCTCTCCGAGGATGGTGGGAACGGCATCACTCTCCGGAACGAGCTCAAGAGACTGCAGCTCGAGGTCCAGGAAAAGGATCGCCGACTGGAAGAACTCGAAAGGATTGTCGCTGGCCTGCAGCAAGCTATACCGCAGACCGCGACCTCTCAAGGATAGATGCCCCCGAGGCAAAGACTCTCTACGATTTACATGTTTTTTACCCCCAGCCTCCCACTCCTCTTATCTCCATCTTGTCCGTGTCATTCTTTATCCCAGACACTTCCTTGATGCTTGAAATCTCTCTCTTTATTTATGGTCTGCACTATGTGGTTTGCATTCGATGGGCGTTTTCATATGCAAAGTACGGACCTTGGGTTCGCGCGATTCTGTCTACAACATCAGTGGGAGGTTCGTTCATATGGTTGGTCTACGTCTCAGAATGCATGGATAAAAAAAATCAGGCAGCTCTGACGATATGGCGTTTGCTCGAGGTCGAAGATACAGACCAGGTGGTGTTCTAATGGTTCCTACTCTTTCTTTATTTCCTGAAATATACCCAGGCGTTTTCAACCTAAGTTTCCTTTGTCACTCCCCAGTCTATCCTCATGCTGTTGTCTCTATTCCGGTGCGTAGTTATTTTGTCCATGTTGGGATTCCAAAGGAGTCGCATTCGTTTATGATGCCTGTCATAATATCCTTCAGACATATAAGTACCTCTAGTAGCTTTCGAGGATTTACGATCCATCTCATTTCGTAATCATTGGGACTGACGCTGCGGCATCGAATCCCAGAACTTCAAGTAACGGCGCAATTATAGTGGTGTTGGTGTGATATACTCACATACTCGCCTCCTTGGTCTAGCATATACAAGGCGCTGACTCGCTGGGCTCAAGTGGCCGGCAGCTCGGTGTATTGTCCCACTGACATTCAGCCTCGTGACATTCAGGATCCGCAACTCCCAGACCGTCATGAACCCCACGGCCGCGGCAAGCATACATCTCTCACACAGGATAAGGCTTGCTTCTCTCTCGTGATTCTTACTCTGACTCATGTGCTTCCAGCCCCGCTTGGTAGAGCGCAAGCTGGCCTTGCAAAGAAGTGCAGCCCGATCTATGGTGACTCATGCCATGTAAAGAGCTGCCGATATTTGCTATCGAGTTACGCAGGGATTCATCGATGGATGGTGTAGATTCAACAAGCTGATGTTCTGGCTGCTCGAGAGACATAGCTGAGTGGCAAATCTCAACCAACAGCATCGTTGGTCAAACGGTTACGATACTTGTCTTCCAAACAAGTGGCCCGGGTTCGACTCCCGGACGATGCAATCAACTTTTGCGGTGATCCTGTTTCAGCTCGATTTTTTTTGTGTAGCTCACCATGGCTGGTGAGGGTCTGGATTGGTCGCGCGCACTCGTCTCGTTGAACGTGAAGTCATTGCTAGTTTATTTTGAGGATGTGACGTGCTTGTACTGTACTGTATGTCGGCGGGGATGCGTGCAGGATCGCCCCTTTCTTGACATATAACCCCGCCCTGCCAATGTCAGATATGAATTGTTGTGATACTCGTAGTTCACTTACCCATCTGCTGAGTCAGTTGACTACCTCAAATGATTGGGTGAGACTTTATAGGCTAAATCTTCCACTACAATCCGAACCATGAGTGTGTCTGTACTGTACCTGAAAGCAGACAAGCCCGCCACTTGCACAAGGGCGGTGATGATATAATGGACTGGAGACAGGAAGAAGGGAGTCAATCAAATGAATCAAGGTAGTCCAAGCAGTGACTGGATGGACCTTTCCGCACTTCATGCGTGCCTCTCACACTAACTAGCGTCTCTTTGTTCTCACGACTCGATGCTTTTGGTTGAGCTTCAAATCAGCACTGTTCCATTCTCCACTCTTCCGACACATCTATCCCCCTCTTCTCCTGCTGGCCGTGATCGCGAACTGAGAACAAAACAAGAGATTAACTGAAACATTCAAAACAAAACTCAGAATCGCTCTTTAAGATCCCTCCTCCTGGCCCAAAGCTTAGGTCTCCGGCAAGAATGGCACTGACATCGTCCCTGGCGGAGGACGCGACGTCCCAAGGTGTCAGTGCTCGGTACATCCCGAATCATGAGTACAGCCTGGGAACTCGCAGGCAGAAGACCGACCAGCCCATGGTGTCTTATGAGGAATTCGATGTTGAAGCCCATGCACCCGTCAACGCCGAGAACCATGCCTTCCAGGAGGGCGAATTCGTGCCTGACGGCTTCTTCAACCGAGTCGGTCCTTTGTGCTTCACCATCCCACCTCCAATGTTTCAGTGGTCCTACGAGATGCGCCGGCAAGCCCAGCCTTTGTTACCATTTCTCTACCTGGGTCCCTGGGGCTGCCTCGCCGACCGCGGCCGACTCGTCCAGGAAGGAATTACGCTTATCTTAGCCGTGCGGGACAAGCGACTCGCCATGGCCAGCCTGATCAGCGGCAGGCGGGCAGCGGAAGCTCTGCAGATTGAAGACGGTACCGTTGACTTCGCAGATAACCAAGAACTTATCACGATGCTGCCTCAACTCATCAACCACATCAACGCTCATGTCGCTTCGTTTCCCACCACTGAGCCGAGCGACCATGCCCGGAAGAAGGTCCTGCTCTTTTGCGAGACGGGGAATGGTCCGTCAGCGGTGGTTGCGATTGCGTATCTGATGGTGATGCTCAACATCAGTCTGCCGCAGGCACTGCAGTATGTCTCCGCGCGCCGGTTCTGTATCGACATCGATGATCCGGCGTCCCAGCTGTTGTTGTCTTTCGAGAGCATCCTCGATGCCAAGCGGGTTGTCGAGGAAGCTAGACGGGCGAGCGAGGCAAAGAATACTCCGGTCAGGGGTGGGTGTAGAAAACGGGATGCCGCTGAATTCGATATGGTTGAAGAGGATGGTCATGCTATGGGCTTGGAAGCGGGGGAGGCGGCGGATGAGAACAGACGACCCCTGGCTCCCTTCGAGGATCGGTCAGGATGACATACATGGATGGATGTGTTTTGCGGGCAGAAGATAAGATATCAGAAGATGATGTCAAAAGATGTCTTGGCTGAATGAGAACGTTTCCCCGAAATCTCGCTAGTATTTGTGTGTGAGATAATTTCTGTATGAGTACAATCTTGCAGCTTGCCTCTTTGTTACATGACCTGAGAAACACCTAGAAAGGAAATAATGATGTCTATGTGGCTTGATGGCTGGAGTTGCCCAGCTCCTGCTCAGTAGATACATGGTAATTGGAAATGGGTGAGAGTTCAAATGATGTTCTTTGCTGCTTGGTGAGTGAAAGTCTCACTTCACTATCTCATGTTTTCTTCTTTCTAAAGAGGGAAGTCTCGCTCATTCACCACTACACCGATCAATTCACTCTCATTCACCAGCTCTCCACATGTCTTGGGGCTCTCTTCTCTTTTGTACTTCTCGCCTGGTATTCGACTCCGATACACCTCTTGGTTTTCATCTTCCAACTTCTCTTTAATACTTTCCCCCTCATGTCCCCTTCACCTGACGCGGCATGCTCATAATGAGACTCCGCGAGACCATCCGTCTGCCCAATCGACTCAACGAAGAGGCGCAAACTTACACGACCCCAAGAAGAGCGCCATGTCGAGTCATCAGTTCATATCAGTCCCAAACCGATACCTTCAATCCCAACCTCACCCCTGCGGCTTTCCCTACCTTGGATCGACCGCGCCACCCGCAGCTTCGCACCGATAACCAGACTCACGAGGACAAAAACAATGACAGTCGCAAGCGCTCGTACGAGTGCATGATCAATGATGATGATGATGTCGATGGCGCGGAGTCCAGAGCCGAATGCGAAGAGATACCCGTCGAGCAGATTGAAAACTTGATTGCCAATAATGGCGAGCTCAACCTGATCTACGTCAAGAACATGGCCATCATGGCTCGAGCAGAATCGGAGAGTGCGACATTCGAGAAGAGTATGGAAGACAGTGACACGGACGAGGAAGAGGATGAAGAGCTTGTGGTCGAGCCACTCACGGTAAGATTCCTATGTATATTCGGGGAAGGGCCGGATTCAGAAAGCGAAGGACTAACGCGACGAGTTTGATCTGACGCTGCAGGCTTGCCGATGGCGCGATCTATCACCGCTCATGCAGGTCGAAGTCTTCGAGAATGTGGAGGAAACCCATAGTCGACCCGCCAGGATCTTGCTTGGGATCTCAGAAGAGGATATGAAGGAGCTAGAGCACAACCGAGTACTCCGGGCGAAGCAGTTGGAGAAAGAAGACCGGCTGCTGGAGGCAATGCGTGCGAAGCAGCTCAGAGCGATCCTTCGGACCAACAATGTCACCACGCGAGCCACTCAGGTGCAGCCGAAAGTGGCATGCCAGATGATTCTGCGCCAGTATCTTCGCAAGATCAAGCGGACTATCGCACCGGATTTTCTGATCTGTCCGGCCGATGAGGTACTCCGCGCTCGAAGGTTCTTACTGAAACGTGAGATGGATGGAGAGCTTGCAGGCGATTGGAGGGGTTATACGACTAGGTTGCAGATCTCGGTTGATGACTTGTGTCATGGGTTGGTAAAGAGCACTGTCCTTGAGCCTCGTCCTTCTGATGCTTCTGTCATGAGCTCCACGGGTGGTGATGCTGCAATTGATAACACAGCGTTGCGAGTGGCCGATACAACCTCGGCTCGGGTATCCTTGATCAACGGCATTGGTGCAAAGTGTCCATCTATGCTGAAGGATATCTTGTCATGCCAAGGTCAAGTCATGAATCCTCCTCGATGGCTACTTCTCAGCCATCGGGATACAAGCAAGAACTTTCACCATCCCAATTGGGACAATCATATTCATACTCGGCTTATTAGCGAGGAAAGGTTGGCTCAGAGAACACATCCCGAGTTGCAGTACATACAACCAAAGAATACCTTCAAGGAGTTCCCTCCGCTGAGTTTGGTTTTCTTCGAGCGTTGTGGTCCAATACTGGCCACACGAAAAGGCGACACTGCTACAACGTCCGGCATGAACGAGGATCACCAGAGATATCCTGACGCCTCGACTGGAACATCCCAGAGAGCAGCTGGTGGGTCCATGTCAATTGGTTCGGGCCACTCCGGTGGGATGAAACGTGTGACAGTCTCCATGCGTATCAGAAACCAAATCAACGGAATGGTGATAGAAGCACACCAAAGGATGTCAGAAGGAGCAGCCGGGGAAGCCCAGCAAGCGGAGCCATCTAAATGTCGCAAATTGTTACCTGAATATATATGGACCCCTCCCACAAGCCCTTCTCAAGTGCTTCGCACGACAGATTTTCTGTCGCTACAAGATGGCGACAATTATGCCTTCGCTGAAAGCGCGGAATTCCCGGGAATCGAGGACACACAGGCGGAGTCATCTGATGGCGTGATGGATGATATGCTCAGTCATGATACAGAGGCGTCATCACATACCACATGCGAGTCAGATCCCGTGTTAAAGACCACAGAGCAATCGAACAGCGCCAAGCCGGACGTTAGTACAAGGTCTGAAAGCGAATCCGTCGGAAGTGATGCAGATGAATATGATACTGCGGACGAAATGGTCCTTGTACAGGTACCAATCTAATCGTGATTTGCAGATGGGAATGGAGCCACGGCGAGGTGACTGCGGCAATCAAAGGACAGCTCCATCTGGTCCTATGACTCGATGTTCTTTCCCAAGGAGGAGGAAGCGAATTGTAAGAATAAGATGTCTGTGGTCTATGTACAGTACAGATGCAGTTGAAATCTAGATGGCAATGTCACACGATCATACGAATGCACGAATGATCCTCATATATATAGCCTCCTACTAGGCTATGGATAGGATACTTCCCTATCTATCTCAGCAGTCGTACGGTTAAGCAACCGAGCTCGAAATTGCCCTGCAGGAAACGGGAAGCTTAGCCTGTCTTTCTTGCATGTGACTTTCGCGGCATGGAAGGCAGGAAGGCAGAGAAGAAAATCAATCAAAAGATGGTCCGTGCGCCCGCAACGCGCCTTTTCCGCGTCTCCGTAAGCCTTAACGCCTACCCATCCCCGAGGTCGTCACTATTCACCCACTAGTTATTGGCTTTTGCGGCATCGCTGTTTCAGTTTGTTTCTCCCGAGTTGGTCTCAATTGCCTTGGTCTTGCGGGAATCTGTCTTGCGCATACCATCTCAACTCGATCTGACAGAACCCCCCGACCCAAGACCATATCGATCACCCCCCGCGCGCGTGCGTGCGCCACAGCGGCGAATAGCGGAGAGAATCCATTCCCCGTTTCCAGCTTCATAATCCACACGTTTTTTTTTCTTGGGTGGCGAACGGATACAGTTCTTGTGCCTTGCACCGTCTAATTCTACATACAATCTAATCTTCGAGATTCATTGGGCAGGACAGAGGATAGTGTTATATTTGTCATAATACCTAATTCTATCGCTAACGCGCCAATTCGCCAACTCGCCAACTCGCCTACGGAAGCCGCTTGCGAACTACACCACCCGCTGTTCATTTACCCGAGCTCAAAGAAAGAGAAGAAGAGGAAAGGAGGGCAACGCAAGCACCAAGCAAGATGACGAACGCCACCGTTGAGCAGAATGGCAAACCCGGTTCCGGCTCCGGTCCCGCGGAGGATTTGGAGGGCATGGATGTACAGGCGAAGGCGTTGATGCATTTGTTGAATACGAGTGAGGTTGGTTTACTATTCACCTGTTTTGTTGCGCCGGGGTTTTCTCAGGCTGACTCTTTTTTTTGGGGGGCGGGTAGGTGTTCGTGGCGATTATGGCCGATAAGATGAAGAAACAGCAGGAGGAGGCGAGGGCGGAGGCTTTGAGGGTGCAGCAGAGGCGGGGGTTGGAGCAGGGGCAGGAGCAGCAGGTAGAGGGAGGAGCTGCGACGACGGCGAAGGCGGCGAAGGCTGGTCCCACGCAGCAGGTGAAGGGCGCGGGGACAATGAGGCAGACGCGGACGCGGACGCGGACGAGTGCGAGGCAGGCTGCTAATTCTAATTCGAGTGAGGGTGACAGTGCGAATGGGGCTGGTAAGGCGGAGGAGGAAGGTGGGCAGCAACCGCAGCCCACCACCAAATCCCGGCGAGGGCGTGGGCGGAAGCCGGCTGCCGGTGGTAACACGATCTCGAGCTACTTCCAGAAGGCGGATGTGAGTGTTGACCAGGAGAAGCCCACGGTCCAGGAAGCGTTGGAGCATGCGGCGGATGCGTACGAGGCGAACCCGACGGCCTTGGGCGGACAGGAGCTGGTCGCGACGCAGCAGCCGGAGCTGGTGACCGGGGGTCGCATGAAGAAGTATCAGCTGGAAGGGCTCGAATGGCTGAAGTCGCTGTGGATGAATGGGCTGTGTGGGATTTTGGCCGATGAGATGGGGCTGGGCAAGACGGTGCAGGCGATCTCGTTGCTGGCTTTCTTCAAGGAGAAGAATGTCTCGGGCCCCTTTCTGATCGCGGCGCCGTTGAGCACGGTGAGTAATTGGGTAGATGAATTCGCCAAATGGACGCCAGGCATCAAGACGGTCTTGTATCATGGGACCAAGGACCAGCGTGCGGAGCTCCGGAGGAAGTTCATGAACATGCGGAATCAGAGGGAGATGGATTTTCCTGTGGTGTGCACCTCCTACGAGATTTGCATGAATGATCGGAAGTTCCTGGCGCAGTATCAATGGCGCTATATCATTGTGGTATGTTCGCATTCTCGTGACGGAGCAGGGGGAAGTTTTAAGGGGAGTGTTTGACTGACATCAAACCAACTCGCAGGATGAGGGCCATCGCCTGAAGAACATGAACTGCAAGCTCATCAAGGAGCTTCTCACCTACAATTCGGCCAACAGACTTCTGATCACCGGTACCCCGCTGCAGAACAACATCACGGAGCTCTGGTCATTACTGCACTTCCTCCTCCCGGAGATTTTCAACGACCTGAACAGCTTCCAGAGTTGGTTCGACTTCTCCTCCATGTTGGATAAGAGCGGTCAGACGGATGTCATGGAGCGCCGGAAACGTACCCTCGTGTCGACCATGCACTCCATCCTGAAGCCCTTCCTCCTGCGCCGCGTGAAAACCGATGTCGAGACCTCCCTCCCCAAGAAGCGGGAGTACATTCTGTACGCGCCGTTGACCACCGAACAGAAAGACCTCTATCGTGAGATCCTCAATGGCACCGGCCGGCAATATCTCGAGGAGAAAGCCACCGAGCGTTTGTTGGCCCAGAACGACAGACTGTCCCGCTCGCAGAGTCTAAAGCGAAGCGCGGAGGCGAGCGAAGCGTCGTCTCCCAACAAGAGCCTCAAATCAAGTCGTGCTTCTACCCCGGCCAGTGGAGGTCGGGCAGCAAGACGCAGCAGGGGGCCGCAGAGCTACAAGGAGCTGAGCGATCGCGAATTCAACACGAAGCTGCGCAAGCTCGAGCAGGGTTTGGAGGAGGATCTTGACATTGACGAGCCCAGTGAGACCGAGCAAGAGGAGTTGGAGAGGGCCAAGACCATCAAACTAGCCAGTATGTATCACCCTTCTCCGCCACGCCAAATCAGTGAATTCATTTCTGATACTAACCTTGCACCTCGCAGAGCGAGAAATCGCGCAAAAGAAGATGCAGAACCCAGTCATGCAAGCGCGCCTCGTCTGCAACTCGCCGCACAACTTCTACTGGCCCTGGGGCAGCAGTGACGACCCAACCGCCCTCGACGAGACCCTGGTCACGGCCTCGGGCAAGATGCTCCTCCTCGACCGCCTCCTCCCCGCACTGTTGGGTAAAGGCCACAAAGTTCTGATCTTCTCGCAGTTCAAAACGCAGCTGGACATCCTCCAGGACTGGGCGACGCACCTGCGCGGCTGGCCGTGCTGCCGCATCGACGGCGCCGTCAGCCAGGAGGACCGGCGCGCCCAGATCAAGGCCTTCAACACCGACCCGGACTACAAGCTGTTCCTGCTGAGCACGCGCGCCGGCGGGCAGGGCATCAACCTCGTCGCCGCCGACACGGTCATCCTGTTCGACTCGGACTGGAACCCGCAGCAGGACCTGCAGGCCCAGGACCGCGCCCACCGCATCGGCCAGACAAAGCCCGTCATCGTGTACCGGCTCGCCACCAAGGGCACCGTCGAGCAGACCCTGCTCGAGAAGGCGGACTCGAAGCGCCGCCTCGAGCGTCTGGTCATCCAGAAGGGCAAGTTCCGGAGTCTGCTGGATTCGTCTTCCTCGGCCACCGGCGGGCTGACGCAGTCCGAGATCGAGGATTTGCGCAAGGCCCTCGGCGAGGACGAGTACGAGCGCTTCGATCTGGGGACCGGCACTGATGCCTCCGCCATCCTCTCGCAGGCGGATCTGGATGTGCTCACCGACCGCAGTGAGGAGGCCTATGCCCGCGCCGAGAAGGGGTTGGATGCCGGTGGTCGCGCGTTCATGGCGGTCGAGACTAAGCGGGATGGTAATGGCTTGATGGAGCAGCTTGTCACCAAGTAATCTCCTAAATCTTCCGCCTTGGTGTTTTGCTTCTTTTGCGTCGTCGGGTTTGGTTGGAGATTTAGATGTGTATGTATGTATATCTGTGTGTGTGTGTGCGTTTTCAGCGCGTCTTCAAGCGTGGTGCTTTGCCTGGTTTGGGATGGGCGATGGACGGGCTTCAAAATAGACGAGGGTGGCGTAATCCATTGGGAAAGGGGAGATATTTGTTTTCATTGGGTCTTGTTTAGAGGGAGTCTTGTTTTTTGGGATATGGTACTGTAAGTTACTGTACATGTGTTTCAAGTTAGTGAGTGAAGACAGCCTAGGTTTTTAAAGTTATAACTCAAAATCCTATCAATATAGTATCTGTGTTTTATATTGTAACAAAAAATATTACTTCTCATTTGATCAAAGCTAACAAACAGTCTATAGCTTCTAATGTCTAAAGTCATATAGTCTAAAATGAGCAAAACTTATACTTGGAGTACAACAAAAATATTTTTTTTAGAACCGGTGAACTGGTGCATCGATAGGGAATCAGCAGCTGTTTTGGAGTCATCTATGTATGTATATCACAGCCTGGTTGGGAAGCTGGAACTTGAACTTGTAAAAGTAAGGGAAAGGCAGAGTGGAACAAAATTCAAACATCCATTTATGCGCCTGGAGCTCCTCGCCCGAAGGATATGAAAACTGGAATGTGAAAGACGAATTGGCTATACAGTGTGGTGATGAGACTCGAAGTGAAAAAAGGGGGCAGAAGACAAAGTCTCGCACCCATAGCAGCGAGAAGGTAGAAGATTATATTCAAAAAACGAAGAGAAGGAAACACAGCTTGTAAGGGTGGATAACGCCAAGTGAAAACAAACAGACAGACAGACTACCGGGAGACTTTCTGCTCCTCGATCTGCTGCCGTAAGTCGGCGAGCACCTCCTTCCGCTGCGCCAGGTGCGTCTTCAGGCCCTCGACCTGCTCGCCCACAGCGTTGACGTCCTCCCGCAGCCGCTCGGTGTCCTGGCCGTCCTTGGTGCGGCCGACGCCCTCGCGGAGCTCGCGCAGTTCCCGCTCCTTGAACTCCAGCAGCTGCAGGGCCTCCTTCTTAATGAGCACCCAGTTGGGCCGGCCGTCGTTGCGGGGCCGGTCGCGATCGCGGCGGCTCTCCGACGCCTTGCGCGCCGCGTCCAGCTTGGCCTCCAGCTCCGCCAGCTCGCGCCGCAGCCGCACCTTCTCCCACTCCTCGTCCTGGATGGTGTCGCTAAAGTCGGTGCCCTTGGGCGTGTACGAGGTCTTGCCCCCGGCGCCGAGGCGGCTCAGGTAGGTGTCGCCGAACTTGGCCTTCCGGCCGGTCGCGGTCTCAGTGGTGTTGTCGCCGTTGGCGCCGCCGCCCCATTTTTGGGCGGGCCGCACGTTGTCCAGCTGGTAGTCGATCTGGTTGTTCTCAAACGAGGCGCGCAGCGAGGCCGGGACGGTGCGCGGGATCCGGAAGCCTTCGTGGCGGTAATTCAGGATGTGCAGAAATGCAAGGGTGGCGTCTTTGTTGATGGCGGGGGAGGCGGACGGGTTGACGAGGTTCCATGCCGAGCGGATGTCCGTGTCCGGCACGTCTAGGGAGTCATACAGACCCTGTAGTGATTCGACTAATTTGTCCCGGGGGGAGTCATGTTAGGGATTCGTGACAGAAAAAATTGGGAGGGTCTTAAAGGTGGGTAAGGCAGGGAGGGATGGGAGAAGGAAGAGTATCATGTAGAGCTTCCATCTTTGGGAGTCGGGGCGACGTACATGTGATTTCTCCGCGGTGGTTCTTGTTCGCAAGGTAGATCTCCTCGTACTTGGACTTGTCCGCCGGGTTCATGTACCATTCGAATCCATCCTTGAGACCCGGGGTGTCGTCTTCATCCTCTATCCGTTCGAATTGTTCCGGACGATCGCTTAGTGCTCGCGTTGCTTGAACTAGATGGGCTTTGGATTCGGGAACGAGCCAGTCGGGTAAGACATTAGGTACGCTTTGCAGTTCCTTTGGAGAGATGAAATCACATCAGCAGGGAGAATGTGTTCGGGTTTGAGCGTCAGGGGGTGGTGGTGTGGAGAGTAGTTGCGGGTGAAGTGTATGCGGCCGGCGGCCCTCGGGGAGGGGGGGGTCTCGCCGGTACGGGGGAAGCCACTGCAGCAACAGAAGAGATGGAGAGAAAGCTCACATACCCCGTTTACAAGGTCAAAGACCAATCGCATGGCAACACAGAACTCTTCAAAGTCCAGCTCGCCATCTCCGTCGACATCAGCCAGATCCCAAACTTTCTCGAGTTGGTCATCGCGAAGCCGGCTGTTCCTCAATACGGAGGCGGCCTGGGAGTTGTTTAGGCGCGGCTGGCCGCCTGCAAGCGATGCGAAGATCTCCCAATATCGTTCGATTTCCCATTGCTCGATCTTCTTATTTGACATGGCGACTGAAGAATTATGTACTCGGGGGATTGGTGAGTAAGAATGAATGTAACACGCAAGCAGGCAAGCAAGCGACAAGAGAATGACGTGAATGAGCGAAAGGGAGTGAGTTGGATGATGTTTGGTCGTTTCTCCAAGTCGGGTGTCCCGCAGTGGCTCCAATCCAACCTAAGTAACCATGGGGGTTTGCCCGGAACAAGTTAGTTCCGTTCGGAGCATAGAAGTACAGTACAGTAGGTGTAGTTCATCTGACAGTAACGTTATCAGGTCATTCAATTCTCAAAATACATTGCTCATGCTCTATAACGTTTATATACTTGTACCCGAATCATGAATCCAAACAAGAGAGGTGAACATTCAAGAGCCCATTCCAAGGCCCCGAACCATAACAACCAGGAACACCCTTGAGCACCTTTTAGATATCAGAATCTCTTCTATAGGGGGGCCCCACTCATGCATCCTTTGCCTTGGGAGGACTCTGGTCCTTATCGCCTTGATCATGCGAGCTTAGTTGTTCCTGTACTTGCACGATAGCCCGTTCTGCTTCCAGAGCCAGGTCTGGTGCCTCGAGAATCGTTGCCAGTTTCTTCGCATCGCTCATGCGGAGTAATAATTTATCGTCACTCCTCTCGACGTCCTCCACCATCTCATAATGGGGCTTGTCCACCTCCGTGCTCTCCAGTGCATACGAAACTCGTTTAGCGTAGAGCTTCTCAAGCGCAGGGTAGGATATGGGGTTCAGGAGGTCTTTCTCCAGGAGGAATTCTAGATGCTTGGATCCATTGAGGGCTAGAGACTGTTAGCTTATGATTTGTGGCGTCTGCGGGGAAGGGGGAAGCCAACCTCGCCAATGCGACCATCCGCGGTAGACCAGGTAGAAGAAAGGAATATTAGGTATGCTATATGTGAAATCAGTGAACCTAGAACCGATACAACTCTGACAGGGGAGAGGAGTACATACACTGGAAGGAGTCCAACTGGGATTGTAAGTGGTGTCGCAAGGAAGCTCCACCACATCCGTTTGCGATGCAAGTCTTGCCTCTCGGTCGCGATGGCTTGTAAGAGGGAGTGAAGCTTCTCCGATCGGACTGCATTGCCGGGGAAGAGTACATCCACTTTCTTTGTCCCGTAGGTCTTGTCAATGCGCTGCTGAGAGCTTAGCGAGGGGATACTCTTGAGACCCCATTCTTGATAGGGAATTCGTTGTTGCACCCGATTGCCCCAGGAGACCAGGTGCTTCTTCCAGCCTTTATCCGCCTCCTCCCACTTAGCCCATGTCTCTGCCGCCTTGTTGGTGATTTTGTCAACAATTGTGCGCTCCTTGGACAATTCTTGGCCGACGGGCCGAGCGTAGATGAGAGCTCGTCGCGTCGATATGGGAACAATGAAGATTCGCATAGCAATGGCTATATTTTTTGCAGGCGTTGTGTGATCTGCGATTGACGTGTCCGAAAAGCGGGCAAACGCTGGGAAGCGTACAAAGGATTGCTTTGTGTTTTTGTAGTGAGCTAACAGGGAGCTGGACTATCGATGGCTGAAAGGAAGTGGCCGATGAGATGCAGTGGGTGACAGTCGCATACCTCAATGAGTTCACCGAGAGAATTATTTATGGGAGAGAGGCAGTGTTGGGAATTGGTGGGATTGCTAGTAATGGGGGGAGCTGATTGTTGGCCACCGCAAATGGTCCTGGTGATGGTGATGGTGGTGATGGTTGAATCCGCCTCCGCCTCCGCCGCCGCGATGCTCGTCACTGGAGCAGGTGCAGGGCCGACGTCATTCCGCTCCCGGCAAGACTCTTGCAGTACGGAGTAGTTACGAGCAGGAATCATCACTAAAATCTAGTTATTCACGAGGTCTCGGGCACTAAAAACTGGAGCGCTCCGATTCATGGTTCCTTTGCCGAACCAGCCCCCTCTCACCCGGGCGAGCGCTTCTTTCTCTCCCCACCACCCACCTCCTCTTTATACATCACACGGTGGGTGTTGTCTATATTCTTTCCCAGCGGATGATTCTATTCTTTTAACGAGAAAAGGGTGTCCCAATTGCAGTTCAAGGCGCTGTGCCCGCTAGGAGTGCCGAGGAACATTGGGGCGATGCAGACTGGACCCGCCGTCTTCCCCCTGCTTCCGACAATCCGACGCAACTTTGCCTGGGACAGTCGCTGAAATTTAAGGCGATGGCCCACGATGTGCGCGACAGCTACTTCTTGCAGCCACCAGATTCAGGCTCGGTTCCGGACGAACAGCTATCGGAACAACCTTCCACCACGGAATGGATGTCGGCGCAGTCCAACCCTTCCGTTGGCGCAGTAAACAGCGACCATGACCTCGGTCATAATGAGGATGTGGTAGACCAGTCTGCGGGGACTTCGCGCTCACCAGAGAGTACTGTGGTGGGAGACACTGAATTTGGCCCAATAATGGGAAGGAAACCAAGAACATTGCCAGGTAACTTGAGCATGGATCCTTCTACTCTCCTCCCCTAATGCAGTCCTTGCTGACTTTGTACCTTCGTCTCTTGTAGCCTGGATCCGCTCGGTAGAGTATCCTGAAGAAGATAACGACGTTCCTGCCACGGCTAGCCTTCTTCCCTCGCAACCCGACGACGCCGTTGTGGCGCAGCATAATCACTCCCCTTATGCGACAAGACCGAACCGCCCGAGCCGAGCCGACGATGAGGATGATGAAGAGCAAGGGGGCCCTTCCCGACGCGAGTCTCGCTGGAAGAACTTCTCGAAGGTGATCGCATATCCTCGTGAGCCGGGCGTGGAAGAGAAGCCTGTAACCCCAGAATGGTTGAACGAGAACCTTGGCGATTTCTCGCAGCCGTGGCGAGGACAACTCGCTCCAGATGAGGATACCGAGGACCCGCTGAGGATGAAGCGACGCCGTCAGATCTGGTTCAAGCGCTTTCATAATACTCTTCTCAGGAGTCCTATGGTTCCTCTTATCTTCAGACTTACCGTATGGTGCTTTTCGCTTACTGCCCTGGCACTAGGGGGCTCGATCCAGCATCTTTCGGGTCAATATAAACATCCACAGGGCCCCTCCGCGCTTATGGCCATCATTGTTGACGCGGTAGCTCTCGTATATCTGATCTATATTACCTTTGACGAATATACCTCGAAGCCGCTGGGCCTCCGGTCTGCATCCGCCAAAGCACGGCTGATCCTGTTGGATATTTTCTTTATTGTTTTCGACTCGGCCAATCTAAGTCTAGCATTCGAATCCTTGTCCACTGTTCAGGGTGCATGCACGTTGAACGAAGTCAATCAAGAGATCACACCAAAGAATGACGCAATATGCGACCGACAAATAGCTCTCGCGTGTGTTCTCTTGATTGCGCTTCTGGCCTGGCTTACAACATTTGTGATCAGTGTGCTCAGGTAAGCTAGCTTCCAACCGCAGAACGTTTTTTCTTGGATGCTAATCATGCTAATCTTCCTTATAGACTTGTCGAGCGTGTTGCTTCTTGAAGCACTTGGCGGGAATTCGGTCCTCCTAGCAACTTTTCTTACCTTTCTTTATCATTCTCCTATACCCACCTTTTCTTCCTTTCTTCTTATGCACTTCGGATCGCTGCTTTTCATGCTCATGTTTATACTTGATAATATTCTATTCTTTCCCTGTTGGTGTTTCTTTCCCTGGTTTGGTCGTCTGTCATCTGGGTTAGGCGAGGCGTTTATATGTGGCATGCTGCGCGAAGGCCCTGGCTTCGATACCGATAATATATGCATTACAGCTGATTTACTCGTCAATGGTAGTAGATGTACGTATACTGCTAAGCCCACGTGCTCACGCTGAGTTCAGACTACACGTGCAAAACCGGTCCGTCTTTGCCGTATAGGGGATCTCCATGAAACCAATCCAATTGCTGAATATTCTTCGTAACCCTGTCTGCCTCGGATTGTTCGCCGTAGCACATATCCCACTGTTTTTGAGGCGGATAGGCACCGACCATCTTGAAAGGTCCTTCGTCTGTGCCTAGCTCGTCCAGGAGTCGATGGCCCACACCGGCGGGTACTATGATCAGGTCCCCTCGTTCGACGGTTGGTTCAAAGCGCTCGGGATTGTCTTCTCCACCAAAACAAAGGCGTGCACGGCCGGAAACCACCCCTAAAACCTCATGGGCGGTGCTGTGGAAGTGCGTTTGGCGATACATAGAATAGGTCCACTGCGACGTGACCTCGCCCACATCCTCGAAATGTGCTGCAAGTTCGCTAGCCGACGCGTCGAATGCTTTGTGGTAGATCATGAGCGGCTTTGACTGTATGGATGTATTCGGAAGACCCTGCCACTGAGGGATCTGGCGGTAGGTCACTTGGACGTCAGTGAGCGGCTTAAATGACATGATTGCGCCGAACTTCTGGTATGGCACGCGATAAAGGGATGCGCGAGTTTGGCTGGTGCGGAGGATGTCTCCCTGATTAAGAGGGCGACCGGCATTCGATCTTAGCTAGACATGACGTCATTTGCAGCGCACGAAGTGGCAGTCTCTCCTGATGCTACCATCAGTAGCAAACATGTTCGCTGCGACAACAATGGTCATTGTCCTGTCTCGTAAGGCAGAGGCGTTTGAGCATGGCGCATATGAGTAACACCGCCCAGAGAGCTTGGAATCTAGGCATGCTACAATGCAGCCAACTCATTCGGATGGGGTTCCACGTCCCACCCTAGGCAAGCATGTCATGTCGGGGTGCCTGATGTGAGTTTCCGTCAGAGTAAAGTAGCCGCATGAACAAACGAAGATTTTTCAACAGTAGAATATCAATCTTCTGGTCACCTTACTGACAATTTCTTCAAAAAGTCAGTTCACTCAGTCAGGCAGTGGGCATAGTTGATGCGGGCTTAAGATTCACTTCTAGTCAGCCAGTAGATCGCCAGGGAGATATTTCGATAGAGCTGCCTGACCGCTTACCGGAACCGGACCTTCCCCCCTCCCCCCCACGGCACTCATCGCCCAACGCCACGCCTTTTCTGGCTTGCTTCTCCATCCCCGATCTCTCCTCCAGCTTGAGGCGCGTCTCGTTTACTCCCCCCATTTCTTTGACTCTAGGGACTTGCAGGTTGTGGTCTCACTTCTTTGTCTCCCCCAACCTATCATATTTCTCTAGATATTCTCTCTTCTCCCAGATCAACTAGGAGAGACATTATTCGTCTCGCCGTCTCCGTCACCGCTACCTTAACCGCCCACCGCTGAGTGAGGTCATCCACTGTCCTTATCGCTTGCAACGTTTGGTAAGGCTCACGTCTACCTGATCTCATGGGCATCATTTGCTCGTTAAACAGCAGTTTTCTTTCTTCATGTTGCAGTCTCCTGCAGCAACATGTTTCCGTCGCCCCCCGGAAGCTTTCTATGAGGCTATATTAGTCCTACCAGGCTAATGTTCACACGCATCTTCCACAGACCCGCGCTCAAGGCTCGAACCTGGGCGATCAAACACAAGATGCCGGCTTTTTTCCCTCAAACACCCCACAAGGATGATCTTGATGAGACGTTAGTTTTCCCAGGTCCAGTTTCTTATCCGCAAGGTCGGCTGTCGAGGCGACTGCTTCCGGACCACCGGCTGACTCAGGTAGATGGACGTTCTTGGAGAAGGGCATCGACAGTGTGATGCTCAAACTAGAGGAAGGAGTTGACATGAAAACTGTATGTTCCTCGACACTCTTTTCATGTTGCACTGGTCTTCGTTACTTGTCGCGTCGCTGACCTTTCTTCACGCGGGCTTAGTACATGGCCCTTTACACGTATGGTTTGACCTCAAGGCGTTCATTCCACCAAGAATACTCACGAGTGTGAATCTAGAGCGGTCCACAACTTTTGCACATCACAGAAAGCCGTTGGCAGCGGCAGCGGTTTACAAGCTCATCGCGGCGGTCAGTCCCTTTGTCCCTTCTACCCTCCGGCCAAGATCTATGTGCGCCAGCGCTACAACGTATATTGACATCACCGCTGCAGCCCATCTACTCGGGGAGGAGCTTTACAAACTACTAGGTGAATACCTCTCACGCCACTTGGACGCTGTGTATAGAGAATCCGAGAGCCATGCGGAGGAGGCGTTGTTGGGGTTCTATATTCGCGAATGGCTTCGCTACACCACTGCCGCCAAGTACATCAACCATCTCTTCCGTTACCTAAACAGACACTGGGTCAAACGCGAGATCGACGAGGGAAAGAAGAATGTCTACGATGTTTACACGCTGCACCTGGTGAAATGGAAGGACGACTTCTTCATGAAGGTTCATGAGAAGGTTATGGAGGCTGTACTGAACCTGGTCGAAAAGCAGCGTAACGGCGAGACTATTGAGCAGTCACAGATCAAGAGCATCGTCGACTCGTTCGTTTCCCTGGGCCTTGACGAGACTGACAGCACCAGGTCAACGCTCGAGGTTTACCGCTACCACTTCGAGAAGCCATTTATCTCCGCCACCAGAGTTTACTACGAAAACGAGTCGCGGCAATTTGTTACTGAGAACAGCGTGGTCGAGTACATGAAGAAAGCAGAAGCCCGTCTGGAGGAAGAAAAGGCTCGTGTCGGCTTGTACTTGCACCCTGACATCTCGAAACATCTGACCGACACTTGTCTGGATGTGCTGGTCACAGCTCACTCTGAACTCCTCCGAGATGAATTCCAGGTTCTGCTGGATAACGAGCGTCAAGATGATTTGGCTCGGATGTATAGACTTCTGTCTCGCATCAAAGAGGGTCTGGATCCTCTCCGAACTAAGTTTGAAGCTCATGTGAGGAAGGCTGGCTTGGCCGCCGTTGAGAAGGTGGCCGCCGACGGAGAGACATCGTTCGAGCCTAAGATGTACGTGGACGCATTGTTACAGGTACATACCAGGTATCAAAGCTTGGTCAGCGAGGCATTCAACGGTGAATCCGAGTTTGTCCGTTCTCTGGATAATGCCTGCCGCGAGTTTGTCAACCGCAACAAGATTTGCAGGTCCGGATCGACAAAGACCCCCGAGTTGCTCGCGCGCTATACCGATTCGTTATTGAAGAAGGGTTCCAAAGCTGCAGAGGAGTCTGAGTTGGAAGAGATGTTGGTGCAAATTATGACTGTCTTCAAGTACATCGAGGACAAGGATGTTTTTCAGAAGTTCTACTCCAAGATGCTCGCTAAACGTCTGGTACACGTCAGCTCCGTGTCCGACGATGCAGAGACCAGCATGATCAGCAAGCTCAAGGAGGCGTGCGGCTTTGAATACACGAACAAGCTGCAGCGCATGTTCCAAGACATCCAGATCTCGAAGGACCTGAATGCCAGCTACCGGGACTGGCAAGAGAAGGTACTCGATGAAGATGATCGGCGGAAGCTGGTCGACTCTCATTTCCAGATCCTCGGAACTGGATTCTGGCCTCTCAATGCGCCTACCACCGATTTCCTTGCACCACCCGAAATCGTGAAGACATCGGAACGATTCCAGAGCTTCTACTTTGATAAGCACAGTGGCAGAAAGCTGACATGGCTTTGGCAGCTATGCAAGGGTGAAATCAAGGCCAACTACATCAAGAACACCAAAGTACCCTACACGTTCCAGGTATCCACATTCCAAATGGGCATACTCCTACTCTTCAATGAGCACGACACCTTAAGCTATGAAGATATTCAAAAAGCCACTTCGCTTTCGCCTGAGATTCTTGATCCCAACCTAAGCATTTTCCTCAAGGCTAAAGTTCTGACTATCAATTCCGAAGGATCCAAGCCGGAGCCTGGAACGTCTTTCACTCTAAACTACAATTTCAAGAACAAGAAAATCAAGGTTAACCTCAACATTCAAATCAAGTCGGAGCAGAAGGTCGAGTCGGATGACACACACAAGACAATTGAGGAGGATCGTAAGCTCTTACTTCAGGTACGTTCCTCATCCCACCCCGTGAATATGTATCCCGCCTAATGCTGTTCTAGTCTGCGATTGTCCGTATCATGAAGTCCCGCAAGAAGATGAAGCACGTACAATTGGTTCAAGAAGTGATCCAACAAGTCAAATCTCGCTTCCCTCCCAAGGTCCCCAACATCAAGAAGAATATCGAGGCTCTGATGGAGAAGGACTATATCGAGCGATTGGATGGGGACGAGATTGCTTACATTGCATAAAGCTGGTGCCGCCATCACATTCACATCGCCTTATTATTCATTACCTCATCGCAACTCTCTCTCATACTCCCCGTGTGTTCTGTTAGCGCGGTATCGCTCCACCCCCCACATTTTGATTTGATTTAGGCCAGGTTTCATCGAGCCATGGAGGAAGGGGTATTCTGTAGTTCTCTCATAGCGCTGCTACCACAAATGATAACCCAGATTATGCTTCTAGTGGAACGCTCTTTGTTGAAGATTTACCCTAGCCGTCATTCATATTCTCCTGCAGAATGTGCATCGCGACCCCACAATGGGACGATGTGATTGCCTCCAGATGTTGCAACCTGCCCGAGCTGGAGATTCCCGGTTCAGACGCTCTGTAGGTTACAGTAGCACCTTGTGAGAGATGACCAGCCACGAACAGTATTCAAGCCGTCAGTTGTCAATTAACCTCTCTCGTGTCTTCTGGCCTTGCCCATTGGTGAACAGTACAGTACAAGCGATTACTACTCTTCTTTCTCTCTACCTACTAGGTAGTAGTCATTGCATCCCAGCCATCGGAGAGAGCAATCGAATACGAAACCACCAACACCAGGCTGGAAAAATCCAAACGTTGGTGGGACGTGAAAGATGAAGCCATTTAGTAGACCGAGCGAATTGCTGCATGGAGTGACGGTCCGGTTAGTCGGCATATCATGGATGATCCTGGTCTCCCCAGCTCGAGTGAATCTTTTGGCGAATACAGAGCCGATCTCGACTGTCTTTGAGTTGCTGCAGCTGGGTGTGACTGATTCCAACGTTTATGAGAGATGAAAGGCGACGGAAGTATTTTAGTGAACCGGATGAATATTAGGTAGAGTCACGGTCCAATTAGTCGTCACAGCATGGATTGTCCCCGGCCTCCCATCTCGGGTCTCATCTCGGGTCTCATATCCGGTGCAGCATTTGGAGAATCTAGAACGGTTCTCGACTGTTCTTGAGTTGCAGCAGCTGAGTGGGGTTTTTCTTCCCTGTACGTGCTATCAGTTGGCTATGTTTCATGAACTGACAAAGACCGTATTGACAGACCACGATAATCCTAGCGCCCTGCATGCAGAGCACATCACCATGCGCATCTTTGCAGCGAGAGTGAAAAATCTGTCGTATGAAGCTGTAGTATGAGGCTTGGTGATGTTGCAACCTGGATGTCTATATCTAAAACCTGGGATTTATCCGCTGCTTTTCCCGATATAGAAGCCAACGAGATCCAGCCTCCACCGCCTGAAATCTTGTGCAGCCTCAACACCGATAAGGCTGAGCGGCTTTCGGCATGGCAGATGCAGTTAACAGTCCTAAGATGTTGATGTGGCCAATGAATCAATGCAGATCCAGGTGCAAAAATAGTTATATGCAGTCAGCACGATCTTCGAAGCCATGCGACAACACGAAGTTCACCGCAAACACAGCATACTCTCTCCTGAAACCGTTCGCTACCATACTGGTGCCCAATTGAAATGCCTCATGGCAAGATGGGATTGCCTTTTTCTTGCGGCTTGTCCATGTTACTACACCCAACATATATAAGGCCGACAAAGGAGCTAGACCATAGATCTCGCTCGACAAGCTAAATCATGCTTTGTGATATACAGTGGTGAAGAGGAAGTGGAATACCAGGGACAAGATTCCCAGGCGCCAACAGCAGTTTTCTACCTATATTCTGAGAGCTTCTCTTCCTTGTGATACAAAATGGGTCGAATCCCTTTTGTGACAAGCCCTTTGGTACGTCTTGATCTCGCGCACCGCAAAGCTCAAAGACTAACAGCACCCGTTCAAGTCCAAGCGTAGCACTCGGCAGAGCTCAACATCTGATAGTGAGCTCGGTCCGGCCACACACGATGAAACCTTGTTCGAGAACTCTCAGTTCGAACACTATGAGGCTACCTCCAACATCCAGTTGTTTCCGACTTGTTTCTCGTGGCTGATTTGACCTCCTTTGTGACTGTCCACGATGTGAACAGTAGTAAGAGTATGTGGCCGACTCGTCTCCCGAACAATATCAGTCTTCGCGGAATGTAATTGCTAAATATCTGTCCAGTGCTGGCGTCCTATGTCGGCTTCATCGGTATCTTGTGGTTCACGTGGTGCCAGGTCAGTCTGTACGACGTCTGGTTTGCCACGGACAGCATCTTTGAGCGTGTGGCCCACGCGTGCCATTTCGGCGTGATGATGGGGCTGGCCGTCATCGGCCCCAACTTCCTGAGGCAGGACGCTTGGGGCCCCATGCAGCAGCTGTCGCTGATCCTTATGGTGAGCCGCTTGGTACTCGCATGTCAATACGGCACGACGCTCTACTTCACATGGCATTACCGCAAGACTCGCGCGCTACTGTTGATCACTTTGGTCTCGCTGCTGGCCGCTGCAGCTGTTTACTTTGGTACATCGTTTGTGTTTCAGTTGCGCACCAGATGGGACGCCTATATCGCGTGGTACTGCGTTTCCGTGACAGAGGTGCTTATCAACGTGGTCGTGGCCGCGGTTTGGCCGGCTCTCTCGCTTGAGAAGACTCATCTCGTGGAGAGGATGACCTGCTTGACTTTGATTATCGTATGTAAAACTCTCTGGACGTATTAATCTGGAATACTAAACCTCTTTCTGATAGTTGGGCGAGGGTATCATTCTTTTGAACAAGGTTGTCAGCATGATCGGGAAGCTGAACCAGCGGTTCTTCCCCCCGGACACTGAATTCTCATATCATCCGTATTGAAAGAGTACCTCTCCCTTTCAAGGTAGAAAGATGTTCAATCAGGACTCCCTCTCTATCACAGTACCTGACTTACCAACTGTACTTCGACACCATCAGCAGCGTAGAGGCACTAGGTCCGATCGGCCAGCACCTGTGCGCTATGCTCCACTTCCCCTTCCACGTCTGCCTCTGCCTCATGATGGAAGGGATCAACCAAACCTTCATCTGGGCACACCTCTGGGCCGGGATCAGCCAGCTTTTCAATCCCCTGATGCGCGGGATCAACAACAATGCCCCGGTCGACGAACTCAGGGACATGCTCGGGGAGGCGATGGATGACGTCCTGAACAGCTTCACCACCTACATGGATCAATTCCACACCATCAATAGCTCCTACAACGCGACCATCACACTGCCCCCCAACGCGACGGGGATGAAGTTTATCGAGAAGGCGTGGCCGGCAATCATGGGGACGGTGAACCATCATCGTGTACAACTTCGGGTGTAAGATACCCAAGGAAGAGGCGGCCAAGGCGAATGTCACGTTCCAGGAGGAGATCGACGCGGCCATGAAGGTCTATGATCTTACTTTCGGTATGTACATCGTCCCATCATCTTGTTCTCTTTTGACTTTCACATCATTCCGATCCTTTGTGTCGATCGATCTGAGAGGTACAAGCACCAACTAACATCTTCATTCACCCACTCAGGATACTCCTGCACCTGCACAGGCCTCTTCCTGATCTTCACCACGGTCTTCGAAATCCTATCGCTTCCCCGCGAACTCATCATTTCGGCATGCGCCGCGACAGCACGGGGAACGTCGCGCTCGTGGGGCTGGGCCTGGCGCTGCTCAGCCCGGAGTCTCATGAACATCACCGGAAAGAGCCAGGCAATCGGCCAATCACCGTGGGCACTCCAGCGCTGGCGCTGATAATGCTCTTCTGTGAGTTCTCCTTTTTCTTTCTTCTATTTTCCATTCTCATCATAGGGGAGTTCACGAAAAAGACGATTCATCTCGTTCTCGTATTTGGTTACGAGTGGACATCGCTGACCGATTGTTATTGTCACTTTTAGTGCTCGCGTTGCATCATTTTGCCCCAAGGAGGCTATATCGTATATAGAGTCGACATAGAGGACATCGAGAAGTAATAATGACGTTGATAGTGCCACTGCACATCTCTCTTACTGCCGCTGCTTCCCTCTCTCTATTTTTCCATAAGCTACAGAGAGAGATTAGATGAACGGCAGAGGTATGACTGTCAGAAAATGTTGAAAGAAGCTAGCACAAAGTACGAAGTAATCGCAATAGTGGTCTGGTCACCTGACCCAGTGAGTCTGTGCTCATCCTGCCACGGAAAATGAGGTAACGCGTTACAATCACGTGGTTAGAGCCCCCTTTCCCGTCCGTTATCTATCGATCCTCTAGAACCACCTCCCCGCCCCCAACCATCTCCTCACCACCTTTCTCCCCCCTGAGATATCTCATGCTTCACCTTCGTTCGGTGCGACGATATCAACTCCATCATCCTGATCACGTATAGAGACTTGAAGATTTGCTCTTTGCCGTTCTCGCCGCTGGTCCTGCCGTTCCTGTGTTCTCATAGGACTCCATATTGGATCTTGGATTGGGTACGTACGTGTGGCTAGGCCGCAAGAGCTTTTGATACCTTTGTTGTCGTTTGCCAATCAAGGAATCATTTTCTTCTTGCCGTTCTCGCCGCTTGGCGTGCCATTCCTGTGTTTTCATAGGACTCTCCAACTTCTTAATCCGGAGTAAGCATGTACTTGTGGCCAGGCCGCAGGAGCTTTCGGTCGGTCTCTTTACTGTTGTCCTCTCAATTCTACCCCCGATCTCTCATTCACCGGAGTCAGGGCTGCTCATCGCTTTTACAAAGCCCGGGTGGGAGGGCTACTCGATCATTCGAGGGAATTTTTTTTCAAATCCAACGAGCTTTAGAGTTTTTCAATGTCGCCTGTATTGCAAGATTCGCACTGGGCTTTGTCCAAGAAAGTTGTCGTCTCTGTGCCAGGCACGAAACATTTTTGCGATGCCAGGTGCCGCATCGCCTATTCCAACGTCCCCGAGCGAGGATCTATCTCTCTTAGTATCAAGGCAGCCCTTGCTAATTCCACTAACAGCTCAGATTCACTAACATTGAATATCTGCCCCAAAGCGGTTCAGAACTCCTCGCTAGTCAAGAGAAGCAAACCTAATCTGTGCCCATCGGAATTGTCCTCAAAAATTCGGCAAACTATAAGCGGTGCTACGGATGTTTCAACGCTCAGTATACATTTAGCTAGGCCTGGGATTGTTCTGTGTCCATCTTGGGCAAAGTCTCTAAGTTCTTCCGATCCAGAAGACTCAAATTTCATCGCATTCGCCCATATTTGTCAGTCAACTTCTCTACGCCTACACTTTGCCCTGGTACAATTTCAGGGGGGAGAATTTGAGACGTTGAGAGATTTTTGCTCTAGAATACAAACCCTCCAGTCAGAGTCTTTCGACCATCATCGGCATGGTGTAGTCGAGAGAGGCCCGAGTATATTTAAGCTTTCTCCACCCCCATATGATGAGAAACATGTATCAATACCGGCTGAGCAAGCGGATCTACCCCAATACAATGACCAAACCAAATTGAATCCGGTCATTGGCAAACGGGACAGAGGTATGCCCCATCTCCACAGTTACAAGAGATTTCAGCTTTCATAGCCTGTTGATGGTCTCTAGGGTGGTCCCTGTCACCCGAAGAATGTTGCAAAAGGCCGCTTCTTACACAACCAGACTGGCTTGGAGCACCTACCGAAGTCAATACCCCAAGTACTCGCTCTTCGTCACCATCCACAAACTCGATCCGTCCAACCCACTTCATACATGCTTCTTCACCCGACGACACAGATCATTTTTCACTGAGATGTCTTGAGCAGAGGCTTAGCCGACTTCCTGAAGATCTGGTTCGCGAGCTATTGATTCGTTCCGGACATCATCGTCTACTGGCCTTGTCAGGGGATGTAGATGGCGGCCTACCATCAAGGTCCGGGACATCTGGCCCTCCTGGCGTCCATCTGATCGATCCTTACATCAAAAGATATATCGATGAGGAAATCCACAACAGTTTAAAATTACAGCAGGATATCGTACGCGATAGTATCAAATCAGAACTTGATGATATCGTTCAAGACAGCATCAAATCAGAACTGCCTGGTCTTGTCGACCATTTTCGCGAGGAGATTGCCGACGAACACAAAACGAAAGTGTGCGAGTTAGGCGAGGTGGTCCAGGACAGTGTATGCGAGATACAAACTGTAACCGATGATGGTGCAGAGGTAATTAGGGACGTTACGACAGCGCATATCGATGAAATAAACAAGCAGGCCGTCGAGGGGAAGAAAGCATTGAAGGAGATGGCTTTGAAGTTGACTACTTCTCTCAGGGCCTCATTTGACGATTTGCGAGGCTCTAGGCATGAAAAACAGGGCACACACGCGAGATGCCGCTCTGTTTAAATCCTAGATTTAGGTCTTCTTACTCAATAGTTTGTTGTGTATCTAAGACTCCGTAGACATTTAGAATGAGAGATGGCCTCTTGATTTTGTTCTGTATGATTCCAGACCCCGCAACGTCACCCCTCCAACCTCAAATCTACCTCAACCTCACCCCCGTCACTCCCATCGTCTCAATCAAGCTGCCGCGGATAGGCTCCCCCACCAACGTCTCAAACCCCAGACCCATCCAACCAACGCCTTACACCGCAACCCCAACAGCCTATTCAAAAAGAAGGGGACACTATACGGATGCCCCTGCGCCGCGGTGACCACCCGATGCCGCGCGCTGCGATAGTAGCCCGCCGTGAACCGCTGCACCACATCCGCCGATGTTGATCACATACGCCCCGGCCACGGGCGGCACGGGGATCCACGTCTCGGTGGTGGGGGGGGGGGGGGTGGGGGCAAGGGAAGGGTGTACAGTACCTCCAAACTGCCAGTCCGACTGCACAGCCTGCGGCGCATAATGCAGCAGTCGCATGGGAATCGACGGCCGGTCCTGCGCCAGCGCGTCCAGCGCGTCCGGGGCGCAGTGCCATTCGGCGGGTACCAGGATTGGAGGAGGGCGTGCACGAGCGTTAACATGGTGGCTTGGTATCGCAGTATGGGTTCCTGGAATTTTCGGGGTGGAAGAGCGGCAGGCCAGAGGTTTGGGGCCGGTGGGGAAGGTGCCGCTTTCTGGGGTCGGTGGCCGAAACTTCGTGGCCGATGATGAAGCACTGTCATGCGTTCAGTGAGTCTCAATATCAAAATAGTCAGGAGGAAAGCAGAAGGGACGCGCAAGGCAGTCAAAACGCAGAAGGGCTGAGTTTACCTCCTTGGTGCCCGGCAACAACCCCTCCTGGTGCGTTTGGATGCCGGGGGTGGGGGGTGCGCTCGTACCCGCGGAACGGGCGACCCACGGAGCTGCCGATCCAGACCTTCATCTTCTCGTCTTCGGGGCAGGGTGAAGAAGCCGTAGGTGGTGCCGGCGTCGTGCATGGCGTCGACGACGTGCTGGCGGGCGGTCTCGGAGGCATGGGGGTTTAGCCAGGGGGCGATGTCGACGGTGGGGATGGACATGATGCTTCAGTACACTCTGATCTACTGTATACCTAGTAGCAGTCTCAAGCTAGTCTGAATTCCATATATAACCACCACCTAGCAGAACCCTCTCAAGGAACCACCCAGTATACCACATACCATCTATCCCCGACAGAAACAACAACCCGCCCGATCGAAGGTATCTCCGTACAAAGCCCCAAGAAACCAATCCTCACACAGAAAAGGCAGAGAGAAACAGAAACTCCCACGGAGTATCTCCTCAACCCACCCCTCGGAAGTTGTGTTTGTTAAGAGAGAACCCAGCCCTTAGCATCAACAAAGCATGATCCACAACCACAACCAAAACCACTACCCCCCTCTCCTCTATTCGACATCCTCTACTAGCTCTCCATCCTCTACCTCCATCCCCCAAGAAACAGAGAATCCACTCATCTCACCCTCCCTGACCAAACCGCCGCAACCCAACCCAAGAAACAATGTCCACCACCATCTCAAATCCAACCTCAAACCCCAACCCATCAACCACCTCAACCTCACCCGCCAAACCCGAGAAGGAGACCTCAAAGAGGCTGAAAGAATACCTCCTTCTTCTCTTCTTCTTCCTCCTCCACGCACGAAACCCGACTAACCCACTGCGCCTCCCACCTCGCGCATAACCGCCCCCACATCGACGCCCACCGCATCACCTTCAGCGGACAGATGATCTCCTCCCACACTTTTCACACCTGACGACAAACTCGGCCAGCAGAACATCATAGGCAGCAACCATCTCTGCGTGCGAGGCCGAGGTGTGGGCAATGGTGGTGGCGGATCCGTACAGCCGGCTGGGGGTGTGGGCTTTGGGGGCGGTGGATGTTGTGCCTATGCGGGTTTTGGTGCCCGGGACCTTCTCTTACGGAATCCCAGACCTAGCTCTTAGGGTTTGAGATGGGAATGTTTGGGGGAATATATAAATTGAGGACTCAAGTGCTAATGTTGATATTTGTTTGTATGCATGTCTGGGTGTGTTTTGTGCTGTGTACTGTACTGTACTCAGGATTGAATGTACTGTGCCCAACCTAAAGAATAAGCTGGATGCTCAATACGTGCTTCAAGGGAGGTTGGGAATAAGCAATGCATTCCCCGTCTGACAGCTCCCGCTTGACCGAATATGGGTTAGTAAGGGCACTTGTACTTCAAACTACTTCAAACTACTGCACGCCGGAGGTAATGACTCGTAGGACCGTACCATACCTGAATCCCCGAGACCGGTAGACTCCACCACCGCCCGCCCGGAGTTGTCCACCGGAGATAACCAATTTACCGAGAACCAGCTTCAACTTGACTATAGACAATAGACATGCACTAGATATGGACAGCATCCACTACTATAAAAGGTGACGCTGCACGGCTATAGGACTCTACACAGTTATAGTACACACTCACAACACACTGACTCACTACACACACTTACAACGCACACACTCACAAACTAATCTCCTTAAACCTTCATACTCCACTACATCACAACCCATCCTTCAGCCACTGCAGCCACTTCACCACTCATCCCACAATGTCAACATCCTCCACCACCACCACCACCACCACCAACACAGCCGCCTGGCTCCTCGAGCCCGAAGCCCACCCGTTTCAAATCCGCGAAGCGCCCCTCTGGGAACCCGCCGAGAACGAGATCCTCATCCGCAACCACGCCGTGGCCATTAACCCCGTCGACGGGAGCCTCCAGACCAAAGCGTGGTGGCCCATGGAATACCCCACCATCCTGGGCCAAGACGTAGCCGGGGAAGTCGTGCAGGTCGGGCCCGGAGTGACTCGGTTCCAGCCGGGCGATCGCGTGGCCGGGCTGGCCGTTGGCATGGCCACCAAGCGCGACCAGGACCACGCCTTCCAGGCCTACACCATCCTCCAAACCAACATGGCCAGCAAGCTACCCGACACCCTTTCCTACGAAGCCGCTGCCGTGATCCCGCTGGGCCTGTCCACCGCCGCGTGCGGCCTGTTCCAGGACACCCATCTCGCACTGCAGTATCCCTCGGAGCCAGCACGCCGGCCCCCAACCGAAGAAACGCTGCTGATCTGGGGCGGCGCCGGTAGTGTGGGCAGCAACGCCATCCAGTTGGCCGTCGCGGCCGGATACGAGGTCGTCACGACGGCCTCGCCCCGGAATTTCGACCACGCTACGCGGCTCGGCGCCAGCCGGGTCTTCGACTACCACAGCCCCACCGTCGTCGACGATCTCGTGGCGTGGCTGGAGGGGAGGACCCTGGCCGGGGCCATGGATTGTATCGGGTTCGCCGCCACGCCCATGACCGTGGCAGTGGTCAGCCGGTCGCAGGGCTCGAAGTTCGTGGCCACGGTCAAGGGCGGGTTCCAGGCCCCCGACGGCGTGACCGTCAAGAGCGTCTTTGGCACCACGCTGAAGGACAATGCAGTGGGCAAGGCGATCTACGAGGACTTCCTCCCCCGCGCGCTGAAGACAGGGTCCTTCGTCCCGGCCCCGGAGCCCCTTGTCGCAGGTCAGGGTCTGCACAGCATCCAGGCAGCGGTCGATCGGCAGGCTCAGGGCACCTCCGCACAAAAGGTGGTCGTCGTGCTGTGAGTGAGCTAAACCGGCGGGTTCTGTGTAACGCTATTTCTCGCGTGGTTTCATCTGGTTCCCGACCTGCCCTCGTATCCTATTGGTCTTGTCATTTGTTGCGATATGCTCCGCCCCGGTCAGTTGGACTCTCGTACCTCGGGACTGGCCACAGTATTCGTGTTGTCGGGATTTTTGTTGAATGAAAGTTTATGACACCATAGCCCCATCAATAGGAGCAATAAAAGCCGTTGGCAATAGAGTTGTTGACTCAAACCGCGAGGTCGTACAAATTCTTGACGCAATGGACGCACCACGGACCTTCAACTAGAGTTTCCTGTCCTAAGAAACCATACATACGTAGCAGACCAACTGTACAGGAAGTCGAATGTAGAAACTGGTGGTTTCACAGACCTTCAGCCTCAAACTTGAAAGGTTAAGTGTTCCTCTGGTGTTTGGAAGAACACACAGCCCACGTGTAGAGACCCCTCTTCTCTACCAAGGGAAGCTTCTCACGAACATGTGCCATAAGCCTTGTGTTAGGGCCGAGACCATGCCGCCTCCATTCGCAAGACGTCAAACACGTTTTTGGCAACAAGCTCCGGCCATTTAGGACGAGGTTTCGGGCATCAAGGCCCAGCATACAGCAGGCAGCCACCGACAAACTGAGCCCTTAAAGCTTATTTCACCCAGATTCAAGTGGGGTATATCCGTAAATATGTGCAACGTAGAAATAAGTTTTGCATTTTTGCAGCCATTTCATTATCTTCAAATTGACAGATGGCAGTATTCCAAGTTTCAACCAAGCTTTATCCTAGTCAGTGCTCATCAAGGGGTATCTTTAGGCTTGACAATAGCCGTTGCGCGTAAAAATACATCCATTGTCGGGGCCCAATTCTCTTTCTGATTGAGGGTAGAGCAGGAGAACCAGGAGTCCCAGAAATATGTATATAATGACATTATGTTGAACAAAAAATAAAAAACCCCTATTTACTCACACATATCTGCAAAGGGTGATATTATTAGACATGAAAATGTTCGGCTGGATTCGAACCCGAGACCGAACTCGTCGCCACGTATCGATGCAGCAGATTATCATGGTTAGTCTGCTTTCTCCGTGTGTATATCGGTGTTCAAATGTAGTTCTTCCTTAGGAGGGGAAGGCAGGGACGAGGGATCCGTCTGGGTCTCCGTAGTTGTATGGACAGTGTTATCTGTGACCGTGGTCATGTCATTCCCCTGGTTCTCGGCCTCATGCTGAGTGGTGTGCTCTTGTTGACAAACCACTGCCTCGCTGTGAGTCTCACCAAAAGCCGGAGCCTCCTGCGACAAGGGGGACTTCGAATACGTAGTTTCCTGCTCGTCACTATCCCCTGTCTGATCATCCTTGCGGCTGAACTCGCCGCTCTCGCGTCGGAGAAGGATGTTGCTCCACCGCTTCCTCCTGCTTCCGCTCCGAGATAATGTCGAGAAGTCTTCACTTCGCCGTGATTGCATGGAGAGTCTACCTCGGTCTGCTTCACCCGCCTCGGTGCTGCAGGTCAATGTGGGAACAGAGGGCGACGTGGTGATAGGCGATGTTGGCGTGGGCTTCTTTTCCTGCCATTCCTTTCGTTTCTCGCTGGCCCATGTTCCCCAAGAGCTGAAATAGGCGCCCGCCTTCTGGCTCACGGCACTAACCGAAGCCTGTGCTTGTGCCATATCCACCGAGGGGGCCTTACGTCCAGTGAACCACGAAGCCCCTCCCGTGGAATTGATCGATGCTGTATCGGAAGGAGAAAATGGAGGCGAGTTTCTAGATCCCCTGTCCAGTGAGGATCGCTGCGAAGGTGACGTTCTCTCTTCGGTCTTCTTTCGCTGGGCTTCCCGCATGGATTCAATATCCGCCCAGAAGCTGTTGAATGCAGCACTGACTTTCTTCTGGCCCGTCGAAAGGTGTCTGTTCAGAGCCTCGCGGCCTTCCCGCACGCGCTCATCTAGGTGCAGCTCGGCAACCTGTTGGGTTACACGTCGTTGAACGTCGTCGATTGTCAGACCCCCTGCGCACGGGTGACGAGGCTCCACAATTGAAAACAAAAGCGCGTCAGAGGTAAGGCGCTTGAACAATGAATAATTGGGTGTGTTGCTCCACTGCGCTAAGAATTCTGCATTGAACTCTAGGGCCGGGTCGCCCTCGATGTTGTAAGCTTCCAGCTGAGCACGGCTTCTTCCGCCTGGCTCACCAGTAGTGGAAGAGCTGAGCTCCTCGTGGTATTGCATACAGGAGAGCAACGCCAAGAGATACTCCTCAAACTGGAGCCTGATAAATTCTTCGGAACCCATGTAGCCATGCGTTTTGGGCTGCTGAGGATGTGCATCATCCCAGGTTTCATTAATGATTTGGGTGAGAAGGTCGATCCAGCGCCTATCCGCGACAGAGAGAGTAAGAGCATTTCGGAGAGACGGTGAGCTGATGGTAAGAGTGTCTTCGTCAAGCTGCGCATACAATTAGCAATACAACTGGAATGGTATGGTACAATAATCTGACATTGACCAAGATATCGCTATAGCGATCTTTTTGCTGCAGCAATAAAGAGTTAGTGGATCCAACAACATATGACTTGGTTCCGTGATCCGCCAGCAAATCCAGTTGCTGCAACGGGGTGTATGGCCCGAACATGCTTCCCTGTAAGAAGTTAGATCGTCCAGGATAATCATTTGAAGATATGCGCACCTTGCCGAAAATCTGTAGGGGTAGTCCCATGTATGCCAGCACTGCAGGGTTCAGCATAAATCACAAATAAGCGGGGCCGACAGCATACAGGAGCTTCTGTCACTTGTTTTCAGAGAAGTGGGCTTCTCCACTGTCTGCGCATAGGTGTCAAAAGCTGGATCGGCAGAGTCTTGCAAGCGACTCATCAGGCCCGGTATCAACGAGATGAGAGAAAATTGTATCATGCACAACCGCTCACACTTGGTCCCAAAGAAAAGCATCTATGTCGAGTAAGCCGAGTCCTTTCTGAGCAGAATGAACGTACCTTCGGTTGCAAGAGCAGAGCTTTGAACAGGACAAGCGTCTGGTGCTTGAATTCATGAATCATTTCCCGCAAGGAAAGCCCTTCGCGCTTGCGTAAGCCCAGGTCGACCATACAATCAGTCTCAATCGTCTTACCCAAATTCTGATCCTTCGTGTCCTCATCTTTCTTTAAGCTGATAACCAGGCCTTCTCGAAATTTCTAGACACCGATGTCAATCAGAGATCATGGGTTAACATGAATGAGAGCGCACCTTCAATATGTCGTAATCCGAAAAGTCGCTGTTGCATGTGTCAGCGATCGTGGCACCACTAAGAAGCCTCCAGGCCAGAGTAGGCTGACGGAGGAGCACTTGGTAGCATTGCTTCACATACCGTTGCGCAAACCATGCCGACGTAACGATTGACAGCTTCTCCCTCAGTTGCCCCAGCCTCTGAGGACTGTCCGTTATCACCACCACTGCTTTCTGCACCGTTGACCTTGTAACGTCCGGCGGTCGGTAGAGGAGAATATTGGAGTCGATTTGTCGAGAGCATGAGATGCCGAACAGGGAGGTGGCAGGTTGTGTCGCAGTCTCCTTTCGGCGGACCGTGAAATAAGAGAACTCCTCGGTGGACCTGGTGGGCAATGCGTATGAGCTCAAATGAGCATTCTGTACGGGGATACGGAATTAGGGATGGAAAGCCAGCTCGGGTCGTACAAATGCGCTCCGTCCGATAAGGCCATAAATGGCAACAAGGACCAGTCGTTCTCCGCAGCCGAGTCTCCTCCATCGTCACCGAAGCATAGTTCAATTTCAGGGCCTCTAAACAAGGTCGATGAAAGTTCTAGATTAGCTTGTCATTCGTGCACTATAGCGAAAGGAGAAAAGCGAGGGATAGGGGCTCAGTGCGAATTGCGCCCACCCGCGGCGCAAAGGACAAGCGCACTCGCAAGAATGTTTCCGACATGCTTGTTCTTGATTGATCGGTCTCGCCACCTTCGAGAGAGCAGGGAAAGTCGCTGCCGCATTGACTCCCCTCTACTCACCTTCTCAGATATGTACATACCTTGCATGGTGAAAATCTATGACCATCACAATGGGGTCCTGCCGGGGGTGGACGTGAGACATGGCGGGGGGGGGGCGAAACTATTGATGCCGGGGGAATTGACACGTTCCAAGCAGAACTCCTCCTTAAAGAGGAGGAATCCCCTCCCAGATCACTTTAATGAAGGGTTTGGTAGTAGCGTTTGGTGCTACCGAGTCGATAATAATTTAAAAGAAAGCCCCCGTTGGAGGGACTAACTAGTAAATAGCTCAGATATATGGGGAGGGGAGGGGGTGGAAGCCGACCAGGGAAAGGAGGTTTTGGAGCCGCAGTCCAGACAAGAGATTCAACGGGACCGTTCCCTTTCCGCTTTTCCCCC